TTGGATTGTACAGTAGCATACTAACAGCAGACCGAGTTGCTAGCTGCTAAAGAAAATCACATGATGCAGTTAAACTGTTCTTGGATCCACACAACTCTTACTTATGTGAATCACAGCAGTCGGGATAGAGCAGAGTTTTCTGCATGCAATTTCCCCAGCTGATTTTCACTCCTTAGATCTTCACTCTATGCCTATGCCAGTGTAGACTTCAACACCTTTTGCCTTGCTTTTAATCCCTTTCCTTTTCCTTTACGGATTGCCCATTCTTGGTCAGCCTGACTCTGCAAGGTCATTGTTGAGCCTTCTTCTTTGCAGGAACCGGAGGCCTTTTCCCACGCAGGGACTGGGAGACTCCCACCCTTTAAGGCTCCAGCAACTGCGTCACACTGCCCAGCCTGCAAGCCCTTAGGCAAACCCTTCCGGCCAGAGGGTCAAAAAATCACCAACCCCTGTTTGCATTTGCTTGCTAGCTGGGACAGAGATATGAGAAAGATGCAGGAGAGAAGATGGCAGAAATAAATGCACTTCCAGGTCACCTAGTAGGCCTTGTTTACTTTCAGAGCATAATCCAATCAGGGCAGTATCTTTCACATAACTTCAGGATACAGGAATTGTTTTAAATTAAGAGGAAAGAAATTGTTAGGACTGATATCCCCAGTTCTGCTACAGTTGTCCTTTTTTATTGAATATTCATTATGATTTCTGCTCATAACGATATCAGGGTCCCCACTTTCAATACTGTTTTCACATGCTAAGGTTTTGAGGCAGGCATACATACTATACTGCTTCATTTCCAATTGGTGCATGTCCCATAGCTTCCTGCCAAAATCCTGCAACTTTTCATGCCACAAACCCTTGGGATGGGTGTTAGTGCTGCTTCTGTTACACGTTTGCACAAGAGTGGCCCTCCAGATGGCAATAATGCAGTGAAACTGGGGAAGCATTGCACAACAACTAATAGAAAAAAATGATACGTGAGCAGTCCAGTATAAATCCACTACTATTGCATCAGCATACACAAGCACACACAGACAAAATCCCCAGTCTTGTGGGATCCATAGACCACAATTCAATCACATAAAGTCATAATGTGGTTCACTCCCGTGGAAACTTCACATGGACACTGACCCTGCCTCTCATTTTATTTCTTTGCATTCTTCTGTCAGTTTACTGCATATGCCCGACATGTATCATATTGTGTCAGACAGGGAAATGATTGAGTTGGATAATCAGGGTTCATCCACACTTTTATGAGAGTATAGCATCTATTCAAATCTCAATAACTTTTTTGTTGTATCATATTACAGTATGTGCCATTTATTTCTCCTGGGTCTGAGAGCTCTTTTCATTGTTCTGCTGCTGTGTCCTGTTAAATCTGATGTTAACCTCTCATTGGGCACTTCAGTTGAAAGCCCTGGGCTGCCACAGGCACATTACACTTGTACCTGCCAGTATTTCATATTCCCGAGGGGATAGGCTCCCTTACCTGTACAGGAAAGTCCTCTCCAATGTCATCCTTGCAGTCTCCTTGAGACCCATGTTAGAGACTGCTAACTTAAGTTAGAGAAGTTTTTATTCTTGAGATTCTCTTTGCATTCCTCTGATCTTCTGTTTCCCCCTCTAATATTTCTCATCGACTTAGTGCTAACCGAAAGAAGCACTAAAGGAGGAGACAGGGTTCTCTTGAGTAGATCAAAGTAGTAGGAGGAGAGAATCCAGGAACAGAATTTGAAATGTAACAGCTCGACCTAAGAAATGAAATTAATCCCTGGTGAAGGGTGAGTAGAAAATCTTATATATAAATTAAATAAATCAAAGATCCAAAGGTGCCAATGAACGTTTGATGGGCTTTTTGTAGCTTTTCTTCACGCAAACAAATGCCCAACGTTGCAGGATTTGTTTGGGCTCAGAACATAAGATCGATGGATCTGACCAATGGCTCTTCTAGTTCAGCATCCTGTTTCCCATAGTGGCCAGCCAGATGTACATGGGAAGCTCACTAGCAGGATACAAAGGTAATCACTCTCCTTTTGTTGAGCCCACTGGGAGACTGCATATAGCCATGACTAGTAGCTGTTGACAGATTGATCCTCCAGGAATGTGTCTAATCCCCTGTTAAGGCCATCTAAGCTAGTAGCCATCATCACCACATCTTACAGAGGCAAGTTCCTTCAATGGTTTATGCCCTGTGTAAAAGGAAAAGAGAGCACTTGCTTCTGTCTGTCCTGAATCCTCTTCTCATCAGTTTTATTGGATGACCCTGAATTTTAGATTTATGAGGAATGGAGGGAGAAAAACTTTCCCTCGTCCACTTTCTCCACCCCAGGATTGTGTTTTCTCTGCCCCATTACTGTTGTTGTGGATGTTTGCTCTGCTTATTCTGAAGTGATTTACGTGCTGATTGAACTTTTGTGAACAGGACTTTCTGCAACTTCTGTAAATCCAGGACTGTCCCTGGAAAATAGGGACACTTGGAGGGTCTTTGGTTTTCCATGAACTGCTGTTTGCTCCGATTCAGCAATAAAGAGCAGGTTTGCATGCGGAAAGAGCTGATGGGGAGGGGGAAATTGCTTGGACGCGGAGCTGTAATGCGCAGAAGCTGTGCCTAGAAACATGGCACAAAAGGGAGTCTGGATGAGACCCTGGTCTTCCTCCCCTAATCCTGGGGCAGTTTGTTCCTAAATCTCCCCTCTTGCCATCCTGGCACACAGAGAAGCAGTCGTGGGTCTCTCAGCTGCCCAAGTCCCTGCAAAGAATTTTTCAATTACTTCCTCCAGTGGCCCAACCTCTCTGTAGAAATTAGCAGCTGAGATCTAAAGTGAAACTGAAAGGATCCAAAGGGTTTTGTGCATTGTTTGTGCAGCTAGGCAAACACAGTAGCTTTCATGAGCTTATTAATGAGCAAGGAAATGATGCTTTGCAATGGGGCCAGGGGCTCACACTGCTAAGAAAGAGGACAAAAAACAAGAAGGCAAGAGAAAGACTCAGAAATAGTCACCAGAATAGTGGGCAGTAGCAGTCTTTAGTTATTATCTGCTTCTGGAAAAGCCTTATTTGTGCTTCTTGGGTTCTGGGAATGAATTATAGGTTTGAGCAGGGCACGTCACATCTGAGTTTTATGGGAGTTCAGAACATTCTAATGGCAAAATCTGAGGTCTAATCTAACTTGAGACTTGTGCTGTTGTTTTTGCTAACTACGCAAACCTTTACCCAACAACTGCTGTTAGGGGTTGTGTGTGTCCCTTACAACTAATTTCAGTCACCGTTGCTGTTTCTATACATCATGGGAATGAAGACCAGGAAATGAAGACCATATGCCCCCAGCCCTAGAGTTCCTTTGCCAAAGCTCCTTTGGTTGCGTCACCACTAAAAGGATATTGTAGAGCTTCAAAAGGTTCAGAAAATGGCAGTCAAAATGATCAAGGGGGTGGAGCAACTCCCCTACAAGGAAGCAGGGGTGGCATACCCTGTTTTGCTGCTTGTGATGAATTGGGAAGTGGCACGCTGCTCTGCCGCTGCTGTTGCCACTGCTGCCATACTTTACCTGCCACCACCTGCATCACACAATCTGCCACATCCACCGCTGGCAGAGAAACAGTGCTGCCATCAGCACTGATTTGGGGCAAGATTGCACCAATTTGGGGTGAGATCTTGCCCAAAATGGGTGCCAGTGTTTTTGACACTTCTCCATCACTGATGGAGGCAGCAGGGCAGGTGGGGTGCCTGCAGGGGTGATGCCTCACAGAGGCTTCTGCTGCTTGAGGCAGTGCCCTCACCCTGCCTAATGGTTGCGCCGGGCCTGTGAGGAAGAGTTTTTAGCATTTGGGAGTTTCAGTTTAGAGAAAAGAAAAGTAAGAGGTGACATATTAGAAGTTTATACAATTATGCATGCGATATAGACAAGTAGACAGAAAAGTTTAACACAACAACTTGTGGACATCCAAACGCTTTGCCCCTTCCCTGTTTTTTCAATGCCATCGTAATACTATATAGTATACATCCACTTAGTGAAAACAGAATAAACATGGTCATTATTATAATATCCAGTTAGAATTGGTGAGAGAAATAAGCAATGACCAGCTTGCTACTTCAAAAACAAACATTTGCTTCCATCCTTGCTCTGCTGAAATGCTAGCATCTTACTGTGAACTTCAGAGAACTGAGAACCATAAACTGTTTTCCATTCCTTCAGAAGAGCAAAGAAAGAAACCCACCACAATACAGAGCTTGCCCTGTTCCTCTCCCCCCCCCCCCCGGACCACCATACTTGGCTATGGCAGCCCCACACTTTCATAATTTCTCCTTTGCTGGCAACGCTTGTCTCTTGCCATATCTTAAACCGAAGGAGTTCCAGTTGTAGGTGGAGAGGTCATTCTCCCGTTCCACCAGCAAGGCCCCCTGTGGGACGGAGACAACTCTGCTCTTCCCTGGAGGCATCCTTTGCCGTAGCTGCTGCTGCTGCTCCTGACGCTTGCCCATAAAAGGTGGTGTGGACTTCCTTTGTGGACATGGGATGGCATCAGCCCAGTGGCTTGGGTTGGCAATGTTTTTGGAAAGTTCCCCTAGGGAGAATGAGGAAGAGAGAGAGAGAGAGAGAGAGAGAGAGATGATAGAAAGAGGGGATTTGAGGCTCATTGTTGGGGTGGGGTGAGAAACCTCTTGAAAAATAAATTTTGAAGGGTTTGCATTATCCCCTCCCCACCATGAACTTTCACAAATAGTTAGGCATGTAGAAAGTACCCTGGTGGAAAGGCATGAGAAGGTAGAAATCTGCCTTATGTCATCCCATTGGCCCACTTAGCTCAATATTTTCTATACTAGGGGAACTCGTTGCTCTCTCTATGTTGTTGAACTACAAATCCCATTATCCATGGCTACTGGCCATGCTGGCTGGGACTGATGGGAGTTGGAGTTCAGCATTTGAGGGCAAGAGTTCCTCATCCATGGTCTACATCGACTGACTGTGGCTCTCAAGGGTTTCACTTAGAATTCATTCTCAGTCCTACAGATGCAGTGGGCCTGAAGCTGGGACCTTTTGCATTGAGCCACAGTTCTCTCCCAAAGGGAGGCAGGTAGGAGGTAAGTACATCTGCGATACCCACACCTTCCTAAGAATTAGCCACATGGACTGCAGAGTCCACAGTGATCCCCTGCAGACTGGCATAGTGGGGTCCAGCATGGATTAATGCAGCCCATGTTTGAAGACAGCAGGGATCAAAATGCTAAAATGACACTCATGATCTTGGAATCAAGAGCACAGGTTAAACTTAGGAATGGATCACAACTGATACCACTTGCTACCTGTATGCCAGGAGTCCTTAAGAGGGAAATAGCTGTCAGCTGGTTCTCCAAAGGGAGCGCTGCAGAGTAATAGGAGCATCAAAAGGGAATGAAACAAGCTCATCCTGGGATGTAGCGGATCTGAAAGGAAAGATAAAGGAAAGGAAAGCGGGTGGGGAAATGCTGAAAGAAAACACAGCAGAAGAACAGTGCTGGCAGGGTGAAAAGGGCAGTTGCATGACTTTCTTGCCACTGATCTCCAAAGGACATATACAAGAGGAGGAAAGAGGAGGAGATAGCAAGGGGAGGAGAGGGAGGCTGCTGATGGGATGACAAGGCTTGACATCTTGCAGCTAGACTTTTCTGGTTCAGTTCCTCTCAGCCTCAGTTACCCAGGGACACCATTGAGACAGCAGCCCCCTGAAATTAGAGATGGGTTGGCCATCAAGCATTTCAATCAAGATGTTGTTGGGCTCCAGCAATGGGCAGGGATGACGGGAGTTGTAGTCCAGCAATAGCTGAAGGCCATAGGTCCCCCAATCCTGGTCTAAATTAACCAAGTAATTTATAAAGACAATGGCATTGTTGGAAGAGTCCTCTCCACCACAGGGTTCCAATCAAAGCTGACTCTGTCATCAGAATAACTACTTTTGGTGTCCTTTCCTATTGTTAAATAATTATAATTACTTTTAGGTCTCTATTGACCTGTCAATATTTTGTTTTAATAGAAAAGGTAATGTGATATGTTTGCAGGAAAATATATATATTTTATATTTCCTTTTCCATTCAAGCCAGAAAATGCTTGTTGTGAGAACAAGCAGAGCTGGGGAAAAGGTCTAGGGAAATGACACCAGTTACTAAAGAAGGAAATATAGTGGCCGACTCAGGAGGACTGAGTCAAAATCTGAATGCAAAATAGAGCCTTGGAATCTTACAAGTTGAAGGATGTCTAACAATGCCCAGATAAGCCAATTGCTCCTTCAGCCCTTTGAATTTCAACGTCCTGTGCAATTAGAAGAAACCCTGAGAAGTATGTGTTAGGGGGCTTATGATACTGCGACGAAATAGCTGTGGAAATTTAAAACGAGGGGGAAATCTTGTTTAGCTATAATAGAAATACATGCAAATCATCTTTCCTGTTTAGCTAAATTTGATCAGCATGCATCGTGTATGATTTGAGTCATCTTTGTGCGTAGAAGCACACCAGTAGGGGATGTTGCCTGCACAGGGCACATGGACCAGTGGATTATACCAGTGTTTCCCAACCGGTGTTCCGCGGCACACGAGTGTGCCGTGAGACGTTGCCTCGTGTGCCGCGAGATGCCTGGAGGGAGGCGGGCGAGTCGGGCGGCGAGAGGCGGGGCGGCGGCGGCGAGGAGAGGCCGCGCCTCCTGCTGCTGCCTGGCGCTCCTCCTCGCAGCCGGCAGCGCTGCCTGGGCGCCTCCGCGCGACTCTGCCTCGCTGGGTTTGGTCTCCCAGCAGAGACGGGTCACACGCGCCCCTCCCTCCCTCCCTCAGCCTGCGCGGAGGGAGAGCCAGAGAGAGGCATCGCTCCTGCGCGGCGGGAGAGGGAGCAGCCGGAGCGATGCCCCAAACGAACGCATGGGACCGGAGGGGAAATCCTCTCCGAGGCGGATTGAGCGCAGCTGAGAGAAGCCTTTCGAGGAGCTGCCGTGTCCCCTGGAAACCCCCTTCCCAGCTCTGCCTCAGCCGCCGCCGCCTCAGTTGCCGCCGTCCCTCAGTCCCTCGCTCTGCTGCCTCCTCCCACCCCCAAAGCTTGGAGGTTCCCCAGCAAGGGGGAGGGAAAAAACTTTCACTTTTGTGCGTCCCTCCCGGCGTGACGCTGCGCGCTGACGTCACGGGGCGGGGCTTTAATGGTGGTGTGCCGCGAGATTTTTTTTCAGTAAACAGGTGTGCCGTTGCCCAAAAACGTTTGGGAAACACTGGATTATACTAATGTGCCTGTTATGGGCTCCTGATTGATATGGTGAACAATGAAAAGTCACGTATCTTTGCAAGGAGTTTTCAGCTTTTAGAAAAGTTCTTTCCAGGGCAAATGTTTCCCCACTGTTACTTTAGAAGAGAGGGACAGAAGAAGCCTGATCCCTTTTTCCTGTTGCAATGTCCTGCCTTTTTAAGAACCTTCTGTGCCTGAGCACATATTTATTTCTTTATTATCATTATTACTCAGCACTCTACTGTGTTCTTCAAACATGTGGTATTATGCATCTTCTCTCTGTAATAATTGCAGTTGGGAAACTGAGTCTGACAAGAGAGGGAGACTTGCCTAATGCACCCCCCCCGCCCCACCCCATGACTTCCAAAGCTGGGGTGAAATTTCATAGAACCATAGAATTGTAAAGTTTGAAGGGACCCCAAGGGTCAAAGGGATGTCCAACCAGTAGATTGTGATCTACCGGTAGATCCCCAGCAGATCCTGGTAGTTCACGGGATCCTTATCATGTACAAATAGTTATGGGGGTGCTAAAAAACTCTGCAATCCTCCCCAAAAAAGCTGAACAACTCTGGGTAATCCACCCACCCCACGCACGCTCCTTCTCCCTCCAATGACAATGGGTAGATCACTGCCAGTTTTTTTATACTGGGAGTAGATCACAGTCTCTTGGGACTTATAGTCCAATCCCCCAAATGCAAGAAACTTAGCTAAAGCATCCATGACAGATGGGAGAGAGAGTGTTTTAAAATTCATGCACGCAACATACGGGGGGGGGGGAATTTCATTCCTTTAAAAAGCAATCTACCTCTTCCGAAATTAAAAAGACATATGCAACCCAAACCTATGAATCGCTTGCCCATGAGCAAGTCACACTCATTTAATGATGCTTACTCCCATGTATATATTTGCATAGATTTTAGCCCCACAGTGCAATCCTATTCATGTTTATTCAGAAGTGAGCCCCATTCAGTTCAGCAGGACTTTCTCCCAGGTTAGTGTGCTTAAAGTTCCTCCCTCTCTACTAACCTCAGTTCTCTTTTAGATGTTCGTGCCAAGACTCCTCTGCTGCTTCTGTTTGATCTCTTGAAAGGAGGAGAGCGCAGCTGCTCTTTGGAGTCCAGGTCCCTCTCAAGTGCAGTATAACCCACCAACCCCCCTTTGCTGCATGACCTTGCAGTTGACATCAGCAGAGATGGATCCACCTCTACCTTTTGTCTTCTACTCTCCCTTCTTAATGGATTCTGCTTCAGAAACAGTTGCCATGTCTATTCCTCTTCCTTGCAGTATGGGGCAGCTTTACATTATTATTGTTTCCGCCTTCTTCACAATGGAGCCAGAGCTGTTGGTATAAATTGGTAATTCCGGAGAATGAAATGCCTTCTCTTTCTTGCTCTGATTTAAACATGTTTTCCCCCCCTCAAGCCTTCCTTTTAAAACATTTTTCTAAGTACTCTTCCACATTATTCTCTCTCTCACTCCTCTACACATACCCAGCACTGGGTGTTGAAATTTTGCACCCCTAACAATTTTGTGCTCGGGGGAACTTAATCTGTGCCCTCCCACATGCTATGCTACTGTACAAGTGGGGTCCAGCAGCTGTACTTATTATTTGGAGGGTACATATCCAACATACAGAAGCCCTGTGCACAAGGTGGAGGTTGGGAAGAAAGATCACATAGCTCTCTGCTGAATAACCATCTCCATAGCTTTCGCCAAACTAAATACAGTGGCACCTATGGTTACGTACTTAATTCATTCCGGAGGTCTGTTCTTAACCTGAAACTGTTCTTAACCTGAAGACCACTTTAGCTAATGGGGGCCTCCCACAGCTGCTGTGCTGCCACCGCACAATTTCTGTTCTCATCCTGAAGCAAACCTCTTAACTCGAGGTAATATTTCTGGGTTAGCGGAGTCTGTAACCTGAAGCATATGTAACCCGAGGTACCACTGTAAGATGGTTTGAGGTCCATGGTTGGCACCCCCATGTTCTTTTTAAATGGCAAAATGCAGCCACTGTTCCCTCACCAGTGGATTTAACTCCCCACCCTTGCTGTCTTTCCCAAATCAAGTGGTCTCCCTGTAGCTCCTATTTTCCCATCTGAGCAAAACAGACATGCACACCCGTGACATCTTGAGAAACATGATTTATTTGATATCATTAAAACATGTTTTATGTTTTGTTAAATAAAAAAATAGAAAATATGCACATGGTGGAATCAAATAGCGTTCACGCTCTGTTAAATAGACATTGCTCCAAAGTACAAGCTGTGTATGTGTCTTTTTGAACTGCAAGTTATTTTGCGAACTCATCCCCTCCCCCAACCATTTTTTTTACTGGGATTTTGAGATTGAAACTCAGAACAACACTTCTTACCCTTATATTCATTTTCCTCCTTCCTATTGTTGAAATTTGGCTAGTGAGACAAATTGTTCTAGTGTCATAGTGTTATGCCTTTCAACTTATGTGTTTTTAATCCCTTCAATTTCAAATTTCTGATCCATTATGACAGGCATCCCCGAACTCGGCCCTCCAGCTGTTTTGGGACTACAACTCCCATCATCCCTGACCACTGGTCCTGTTAGCCAAGGATGATAGGAGTTGTAGTCCCAAAACAGCTGGAGGGCCGAGTTTGGGGATGCCTGCATTATGGCTTATCACAAGGGATGGAAAATATCAGTAGGTACAGCATGTCAACAAAACAAACTGGGTACTTTGCTTACTCACTCTACTGCAGCTGTTTGGAAGGTGAAGACCCCAAGGGATGTGTCTTCCTTGGAGCAAATTGACAAGTCCTAAATGTTTGTTTGTTGCTAAGAAATCTTGTGAACACGGATGTGCCCAGGTACTGATGCTCACTCAGCCATTGTCCATAGCCATTGTCTAGCTCCAGCATGATCATCTCTATGAACCAGCAGTTCAGTTGTGATTGCTCTTGCAAACAGCACCTCCAGGCAATTCCTGCTGGGATATGAACCTGCTAATAACCTTGCACACTCCTGCAGGTGATCACACAGAGGCCTTCAAAGGTATGAACTGGGCAGGAGGTCTCAATGGCACATCACTGTGAAAACAACACAGTAGTCTATAAAACAGGTCTATTTGCTTGCAGGAGGGGAAGTTGCCTGTGGTAGGAAGCCACTTCTCCAGGCTATACCATAGAGGTGGTGTCTCCAAGTTTCTGGAACAGCTGCAACAAGAAGTCATTTGTAACCAATCACATTTCTGTGAAGGATTATATAACTCTACAATTCTATGATTCTATTATTTCCAGGCATGGGTTGTTGTTGTTTTGGTCCCACCACTTTCCCTGCAAAAACTCGCTGTTTACCACTGAATCAGAACAAACATCAACCTTCAGAAGACCTGACTGATGTTTGTTCCAATTCAACAGTATACGGTGAGCTTTTGTTTTTGTTTTTTTCAAATCACAGACCTGTGCCTACAGATCATGGCACAAATGGAAGTGTGGAGTATTGTTGGACTCTAGTTTCCATCAGCCCCGGCCACTCAGGGGACAATGAGAGTTGTGTGTTGTACCTGGAAACCTGCAGGTTCCCCAACCCTCCTGTAAAGCTTAAGGGAACCAAGCCAGCCAGATAGAATCATGCTCCCCTGACAGCACATGACGCACTGAAATTTTTCTTACCTTGCTCAAAAATGGGATGTTCACCAATGATCCCAGAAACCCAAAGGCAATTGGGAAAAAACTCCTGAGGACAAATAAGTCATTGTTAATAATGGCTGAAAATCAGCAGCCGGAACGAAACCCAAGAGTTAAACTAGATGTGACAGCAGCAATTCTCTGTGTTGAAAGCAAAGTAGAAAGATGGCTAAGGAGTGCTGACCCCCTCCTTTGTTCATAGCCATGGCTCCTTCCTCCACGCATCTTTCTCCCAGCCGAGGCTTCAATACCAGAAGTGATCCTGGCCGAGAGAAAGTAGCTGGCCGAGAGAAAAGTAGCTGGAGAGAGGTAATCTGTGGGTGGGTAATCTGTGGGTGAAGGAACAATCTGGTCTGGAGGGTATCCAACCCTCTAGAGCAGTTTTTGAGGATCATAAAGGATTGTATGGGAGAGGAGAAGGGAAGATCCATTGTGCAAGTGGAAATCCATTGTGTGAATGGAATGGCAGCACAGAATAAACAATGCAAGGAAGGAGATACAGTCCAAAAAAGGAGGTGGTAAGGGAACCCATGACTTCTTTAAATTATTTCAGATCTCCAGGAGCTGATAAGCTGTACCCAAGGGTACTAAAGGAGCTTGTGGACATAATCTCAGAACCTCCGTATATAATATTTGAGAATTACTGAAAAACAGATGAGGTCCCTGCAAACTGGAGGAGGGCAAATGTTGTCCCCATCTTCTTCTTGTTAGAACTGGTAAGGTTGTAGCTCATGAGGCTCCAACTCAGAGCACCAATTTCAGAAACTGTAAACTTGTAGAGTTCAGGTCTGGCATCATGTGCAGCTATCAACAACCCTGGAATTACCCAGACTTGTCTACATACAGTAGTTTCCCTAGAAAGCCTTGTGGCTTTGGTATTAATAATCACCTGAAGAGGTTAATGAAGCCATAGGTCTCCAGAAGCATGCCTAGGACAGGCCACCGAAGCAGGACGATAATTATGCCCCCCAAAAAGAAACTGGTTCCCTTAAGCTTCTGCCTCTGGAAGAAGAAACCAAAGGTTCTTCTTAGTCCAATGATAATGGCCAGGCCAGACAGGAACAGGATCTAAAGAGAAGAAGATCAAAACCCAGGGATTATTGGAGTGTATTATAGTTAGTAGACGCTTTATCAGGGATGGGGAGCGTGCGCCTTTCAGATGCTGTTGGACTCTGACTCCCACCATCCCTGACTGTTCGGCATTGTCAGCCCTAGCTTTGGCTGATGGGAGTTGTAGTCCAACAATATGTAGAGGGCTCCTGATTTCTTGCCCCTGATTTTCATGTTTTTGTATATACTGCTTTTCTTTTTTTTAATCACAAAACACTTCATATAGCGATCATTTATAATTCAAGAGTAGGCAACACAATACCCTCTGGATGTTTTGGACCAAGCCCCACCCCATCCCTGACCACTGGGCATGCTGGTTGGGGCTGATGGGAACTGCAGTGTACAACATCAGGAGTAACCACATTGGCTATCACTGGTATTCTCTCTTAGGGGTGCTGGCCGTAAAGGCCGAATCTTTCCTACAGGCTTGATGAACTTTTTATCCTCTTCAGTAATTCTCTCTGTTTTGTCTTTGGAGAGAAAGGAGAACATTGGTCCTGTTGCCTCTCTTTTCTTTGTCTTGTGGGGATCCTTTAGCCAGTGGCATCGTGTAGCCCCCCCCCAAGGGGTGGTTGCCCCAGGCGCAAAATTGTTAGGGGGCATAGAATTTCAACACCCAGTGCTGCCTGAATACAGCTACACGCTTCCGTTGCTGGGCTCCATTGAAACTGCTTATCCCTGCAAACAAGGACAGCGCAATAACTCTTGACTGTGCATGCACAGGTGGAATTAACAGCCCCCCAACCACCTTGTGAGGGAAAGAGGGACTGACAGCCAACAGGCCAGCATAAGGTTGCCCTTCTAACCTGGAATGTGGTCGGATGGGCAGCATCTATCAGGAACACCTGTTTCACTGATTTTCTATCACAACATCACATCTTACTGATACAGGAAACCTGGACCAGGGATGACATATCATTAAATGGCTACTACTTGCTCAGACTACATAAATTCCCAGGTCACACAGAACAAGTTCATACCTCCCTGCTACTTCAAGATGAAAACCCAAATGTTACATACTCAGTTGCTAGATTCTGCGCTGCCATGATGGATATTTGTCAAAAGATGGTTTGCGCCACAAACTAGGCCCAAAATGCAAGACCTGTGTTCCTTCACACTCCCTCCCACATAGTCGCTTTTAACTGTTTGTCCCTGTTTCTATCTTTTTAAGTAGGTATGATATATAATCACCTTTTAATTACCAGTTTTTACTCATTACCTGTTTTCAGTCTTATGTGCTCAGTTTCGGTATGTTTTATCTTATGCTGGTCTGTGACCGAAATAAAGTTTGATACTGATACTGAATGTGCATGTGTACTCTGCCTTTTTGTGTACTCTCCCTCCTACCTACCCCCTCTGCACTGCCCCGGGCACTGGCAACCCATGCTACACCATTGCTTTCAGCCACTTCATTATTGACACAGGAAGCTGCTAACCAAGGGTATTGTGTTGCTGGAGGAGCATCACCTTCCTCAGTTCATGAAGTATCACTTACACCCATACCCTTGCAGCATGTGCTGTGTATAGTGGTTGGTACACAATACAAAAGTTTCAATTCTGTAATGGGCTGCCAGTCCTGATCATGCAATAAGAAATGTCTGCTGGATCAGGCCAAAGGCCCATGCAGTCCGGCATCCTGTTCTTACTTTGAACAATCATTTGCCTATAGGAAGCATGAAAGCAGGATTTGAGCACAAAAGCGCTCTCCCCTCCTGTGGCTTCCAGTGACTGATACATACATCTTCTGACAGAGAAGGTGGCTGGTAGTCATTCCTTAAAACCTTAGACTAGACAACTCTGCTTGGAAGCAAGTCTCCCGGTTGATGTCAATGGAACTACCTTCCACAACAGTGCCTGTAAACTGGGCTTAGTGATCCTTATGATTCATCAAAGCTTTGAAGGCAAACTGGCTGATATATGTGATGACAAAAGCAACATCTGGAAGGAAACATCTGGAGCTTGAGAAAGAAACTTACATTTCCGAAGGCCAGAAGCACCGAATCCATGTACAATATCATACCGAAAAGGAGGAAAAACACCCCAAAGCCCACAAGTCCCACACCAATCCCTGTAACAGATGAAATGAATGTAATCAAACACACGGCATTCTGAAGATCAGGGGGAGGAAGGCCCACTTATAACTCAATAGTGGGAAAATATGTTTCTGGTGTCTGCAGTTTGGGCTCAGAATACCTGTTCTTGCATGGTCCTGCTTTTCTTTTGAGATCTGTATGAGTGGTTGTGCTACATGTTACACTGCCATGTGAAAAATGGTGGGTGGCTGTGCAGGGCAGCAGTGTAGCAACGAGACTTTGGAGCTCCTACCCATGGGAAGGTAGCTTAGCACTTTCCTTTTCTGCTTTTTAGAAGCTAGCACTTGTTTGGGCAGAACTTCAATTCAGGGATCATTTGTATTCCCCTTAGTCTCACTGGTCATCTATTGCCTGCCTTAAGCCGGGTAGCCTCTCAACCAGAGAAGGGCTCAGTGAGGAAATAACTGAATAATCTGCAAAACCAACTCCTAAATGCAGAAGCAATGTCAGCTTTAATGGCCAGGCCTAGGATTGTGGGTATTTGTCCACCTTCGGTTTTGCTCTTTTTTTTACCTAGCTCTTATGGATGTCTCTCCATCCACCCATCCCATGATGCATTTCTCCACTTCAGGCACAACTCTGTTACTCAGAACCAACAGAATTTTCTCCCAGCAAGCATTGGGTGTACCCCAAATTTACCAGCATGGGTTATAGCCAAAGAACAGGTGAGGTGTCGACTGGTGTTTAACAACAAGGCTAGAGACACTGCCTGTAAATGCCTTAAAAGTGCCTATCATAGTCAAATGTCAGTGTTGGACAGCTGTGTTAATTCTTTTGCTCTTCATTCTCATGTGCTGTGTTCCTTTGCAGGATGATAGTTGGCAATCTTGGAAAGATCCCTCTGGGTGATACATTGGCAGACAGCAAACAGGTCCCTGACACAAACTCTGCTGGTGATTTGCAACTCACTGTCCCATCACAGTCTAGCTGAGTGATGGCAAACCTTCTTCAGTCCAAGGGCTGCATTCCCTTCTGGGAGCTGTGTGTCAATGGTGAATGGGGCCAAAGGCAAAAGTGGGCAGAGCAGTAAATGTAAAATTTGTGGGAAATTGCAGCCTGGATAGCTCTGTTGGCTAGAGCATGGTGATGATAATGCAAAGGTTGCAGGTTTAATCCCCGTATGCGGCAGCTGCATATTCCTGCATTGCAGGAGATTGGACTAGATGATTCTTGGAGACCCTTCCAACTCTAAGATTCTAAAATTCTATGATAATTATGCATGAATTCTAGTTTGTGCATGGAAAGGGCTAGAACCAGAGAGGTCTGTTCCTAAACTCAGCTAAGTCATACCCCCTTACCTCCGTAAGAGGAGGAATTGAAGCTGCATGTGTCCCTCCATCCCCCCCCCATTGCTGCTTGGATATGATAGCACAGTCAGCAGAGCATGTGACTCTAACTCTCAGGGCCGTTGTTTGAGCCCCACATTAGGTGAAAGGTTCCTGCATTGCAGGGGGTTGGACTAGATGACCCTTGTAGTCCATTGCAACTCTATGATTCTGTGAAATGCATGAATCTGATCTTTGGAACGTTTTGTAAGTAAAGAATTTTAAACTTCCTTAACAGTGTTCATCACAAGAGGGGTTGGAAAGAAAGGAGTGCTGTTTGCAAGCAGACTAAATGGGTCCAACAACCTATACAGTGGTACCTCTACTTATGGACACGATCCATTCCGCGGTGCCCTTTGAACCCCGAAAAGTCCATAAGTAGAGCGCCGCTTCTGCACGTGCGCGTGATGTGATAGATCGCTCCTGCGCATGCGTGAAGCATGCAGATCACTCCTGCACATGCATGAAGCAGTGAACCCGGAAGTAAACACTTCCAGGTTTGCCGTGTTTGTAACCAGAAAAAAGCAACGTGAAGCAAATGCAACTCGAGGTATGACTGTATTCCTAAAGCTATACTTCTGCTTGACTTTTGTGAGTTTAAACTCTGCTACTGGGGGCTCTCTCTTGCTGGAGAGAGTTTAGCCTTGCATTTTAAATCTATTTGAGTCAATTATTTTGTTATTTACTCCATACACGTGGGTCACAGGGATTCTATTTTCCTCCCACAGATTGTATTTTTGTTAAAGATCATACTGAAACTCTTGTGCCCTGGGAACAGAGGCAAAGATACTAATTTGCTTCCTTTTCCAACAGCGCGTTCTCTGATCTTTTTAAAAACCAAACCAAGAAAGTGCCTGTGAAACAGTCAACAGAGTAACACTGGAACTAGAGAGCCAGTGTGGTGCAGTGGTTAGAGCACTGGACTATAAGACCAGGGAGGTGCAGATTCAAATCCCCACTCGGTCACAAAGCTTGCTGGGCCACTCAGTCACAGTCCACCTGATCTACCTCACAGGTTTGTTATTAAAATGAGGGGAGGGAGAGCATTATGTTTGCTGCCTTGAACTTGCTAGTGAAAAGGCAAGTATTAAAGTAAATAAGTAAATAAGAGAGGTCAGGGTGACATTCTCTAAAAGCTGAGCTGGCAAAAGGAAGCCTTGATTAGATCCAATCATTCTTTCTTAGCTAACCTGACTACACTGGTATAAGAAGAAGTAACTTCTTCCTTTCAGGCTGTAAGATATGGTCATACTTACTCTGGATTTCTGTGATCTCTATCATCTTCACTGCTGTAGGCCTAGAAGGGCTCTGGATATTCAGGTGCAGATGCAAATGTCACGGAAGGGGGGGTGAGGTGCAGGAAGATGCTGTCACTTCCACATATTCCGCAGCCAGTGAACCTTGGAAAGGCCTTTAGCCCTTCCTGCGTCACCTTGCAAATCATTAACCTCCCAGCAGTGAAGACACCTCTTAAAGTTCACCGGGCTGTCACTCTGGAGTTTCCAAGCGGGTGGGGCGGAGAAGCGCCATCACAAATGCTCAGCTTGTGCTTCTCCTAGACTTGCGAGGGGAAGCTAATAGCAGATTTCTCTGAGGCTTGAATTATGGCAAAAACTGCTGGCAAAAATGAATGAAAAGAAGCAAGCCACACAAATTATGACGTTGTTCATGTGTGTGTTTGGTCCCAAATGCCATACATCACTAATCTTGAAATACCAAAACAACAAAGAGCTTTCACCTTGACTCGCTGTCAGGCCCTCCCTTCAGCAGTTCAGGAAAGCAGTTATAGGAAGATACCATATGAGGAGAGGAGAGGAGAGGAAATGCTCTTGTGGCTCTGGGGAGCAGGAAACAACAGAGCATGCCCGTATTTATTGCCAGTATTACATAGACATTCAAGCTAGGTTTATCCAGCCCATCCTATGTAAGTTCCCTGGGTGTTCAGAACAACACTACACCTCCCTATTACAATAGGACGAAAGCCCAGAAGTCACAGATTTTGCGCTGCCATGATATCTATTCGTCGAAGGATGGTCTATGCTACAAATCAGTCCTAAATAGAAGGCCCATATTGTTAGATCTGCACTTCTGAAGCCCCACCCCATGCAGCTGTTCTTTTTTAACTGATCTCCTTTAAATTTTCCTTATCGGTTTTATTCATCCATTACCTATGTTTAATCAAGTATTCAATGTATATGTTTTAATCTACGTTTGATTATTGTTCCCAATTAATTTAATAATTATCCACTTAGAGATATTGTTAAGCTATTTATTTAGATGTTTTGCTTATGCTGGTCTGTGACCGTAATAAAGTAAATTCATTCATGTGTTTGTTTGGCTTCTAGGAGTTAATGCACAGTAGCCTTGAGGGCTGTTTTCCTTTCCACGTTCCCTATTTGCAATCGGGAAGTACATGTCGAGGAGGGGGTGCCTGCTTTCACATGAACCTGCCCATCAATTGCAGTCATCATGGGCAGACGCTCCTCTCTGCTAACAAGGGAGATTAGTTTGCTGGCTGTTTTTCCCATGATCACTTGAAAAATCCTGAGCATCTTAACAGACCGCTTAATGGTTTTTCTGCCAGTTGTAGCCATTGCAACTCCATAGAATACAATAACATCCAATGTTAGAATTAAAAGAAGCAACAAAAATACAATTAATAATCAACATGGATATTTTATGCAATGGATGTGCTGTCTCCCATCTTCAACCACAAATCCACAGATTAAGAGACTCTTAATCTCAGGGTTGTGGGTTCAAGCCCCACGTTGGTCAAAAGATTCTTGCATTGCAGGGTTGGACTAGATGATCCTAGTGGTCTCTTCCAACTCTACAGTTCTGTGATTCCAAGATGATGTTGACCACCTGAATGAATCTTATGGACTCCTGGTGGCCCACGGGCCAGTTTGGGAATCCCTAGCTTAGAGGGCAGGGTGGAAAGATGTGAAGGCCAAAAAAGAATCTGGAAGGTTTATCAGATAGATATAGGGTCCATCCACTGGACCATTGGTATATTGCATAGCATCTTGCCAACTATTTTGTTTCATGCAAACATCTTCTATTAGCCTCAAGAAATAATAATAATAATAAAAATCCCTCTGACGCAGTCTTGGAGCATTTCCTTTTCTATTGCATAGAAAATAGAATACATGTCCCATTCTCAAGCAAGCAGCGAGCAAAGAAATACCATAATAAAAAGCTAATTAACTGGCCAGGGACAGCTGTATTATCTATATCTGCGTCACTAAGGCACAAGATCTATATGTTCTCTTTTGGTGCTTGACAAATAACTAAGGACACAAGAAGAGAATCTATTTCCAATAAGTGAATCATTCAGCACATTTTGAAATAGGAAATGAATTTTCATGCTCATGATATAACCCAACTATCCTTGCTGCTTCTATTGAAATTCTTGCAATCATTTTATAAGTTGATCTCTCAAAGGTTTGGCAAAAATGGAACCGCCGTACAAATAACTATTGTGATGCACTACCTTGCCCATTAACATAACATCTAAGTCTCCTTTCTCTGAGTACAATCCTCTCCCCCCTTACCTGGAATGAACTGCTATTGAATTCAGTGGAATTTAGTTCTCAGAAGATCTGTACAGAGTTGTGCTGAACCTCTGTAATCCTGTACAGACTTACATGGGAATAAGTCCCATTGTACTTGGTGGGATTCTCTTCCTATGCACAGAATTGCAGGGCCATCAACTGGTCTGATGCACATGGCTGGTGGTGATGAGCATTTAGTATCGAGATACTTTATTATTATTATTATTATTATTATTATTATTATTATTATTATTATTAGGGTTTGGATTTGATATCCCACTTTATCACTACCCGAAGGAGCCTCAAAGCGGCCAACATTCTCCTTTCCCTTCCTCCCCCACAACAAACACTCTGTGAGGTGAGTGGGGCTGAGAGACTTCAGAGAAGTGTGACTAGCCCAAGATTACGAGTCTACTGCTCTTAACCACTACACCATGCTGGCTCTCCGTATTGAGATACTGATTGTCAGGAACTAATCTTACCAGCAGGCTGCTTCTTTGTCATTCCTTCTTTCATTTCCCAACTCTTTCACATGCACACTGAGAAGAATGGGAGAAGCACACCGTCCATTTACAAACCATCAATTTTTATTTATTTGCTTTATACAAACTTGCAAGGTACAAATGCATTTATTTGTTTTGTTTTGTTTTCCTTGTGTGAGATTTTGACCTTTTTAAGTAGCTACATCTAGAACAAATGCTGCTGGGAGGGGAATATTAAGCAAGCTGCTGCAGATTTAATTACTGGAAAGATTATTCCATGGTTTGGTGTGAAGAACCCCAAGCCACTGACATACTGTTTTTTAAAATCACAGACTGCTAATTTTTAAAATTGTCATCATCTAAGGTCACTTTTATACAAAAGAAAGACATCAACATCACATTGCTTTTTTGATAGTTTTTTTTAAACCTAACACAAGCAAATAAAAATAAAAATTGCTTCAAATAATGTGCATAAATAATGTAGTTCCTCTTGGTTACAGGTGCTGCTGGCATATGAAAGTGTTATTAGAAGTGAAGGGAAAACACTTAAAATAAAACCATTTAAAAACATGTTCCACAATACTGTAAAACTGTGATGCGAAACGCATTCTGTTGAGAGCTCACAGCTTGTAACCTCAAAACACTTAAAGTGACATGAGCAATAATTGGTCACAGACTCCACCTAGCTATTAACTGAGCAGAGGGCTAGTGAGGGGTGATGGAGAACATTCCTTGACATCCTTCGTGCCATTTTTAAAGCCTTTCTCAATTGCAAGAAAAGAAGGGGGAAGGGTAATTGGACCTAGGATCCAAAACTTCCTTGACAGAAAAATAGGCAAGAGGCTGCAAAAAGTGGCACAGTCCTTGCTTCATTCCTTTCTTATGTTAACACTGGTTGAATGGTTTCACTGACACCTGTACCCTTTCGAGGTGACCTCCACATCTCTCAAACAGATACACAGGTAGAACCACTACCTCAAGAGGTGGAATAAGGAGGCCTACTTTGATGTCAAGGGAAGGTCAATCCCAAGCCGACAAGCTTTCAAGAGGCTAATTTAGGCCTCTCTTCGACTCTTGCTTATCTAATGAGCTGCCACCATTTAGAAAATGTCAAGGATTCCTTCACAACAAGGGAAAAAGAAGGTCACATCTGAAGGATGTGTCTCTCCCCAACAATATTAAGGGGAATGGTAGTAGGGAAGGGTAGTAGCTGGGAGAGTGATCATGATGGAGAGAGACAGCTTTGCCACACAAAAACACATTCACGTGAACAAAAAGTATAAAAGAAGAAGTAGCATTGACACAAAGTAGGGGGAAAACCACCTATATTGCAAGAATCCCCATGGGATAGCTGCGTACCAGCAAGACAATCTTTGCGGTCCCTGATATGCTACAGTCCTACTCACCTTCCTATAATGTACCTCCTGGGCCAGAGCCTCAATGGGCTTAAGTCAACAAATGAGCCATTGCCAAACAGCATCAGCTGAGGACTCGTCCCTGACATACAAAAGCAACTGCTGTACCCCACAAACAAGGAAATAAATGCATCATTCCTCTAAATTGACAGCTTACATTTATTTTTAAATAAATTTGCTTTCAATAAAAGCAGAAAATATATATATTTATTTAAATATGTCTTCTTTTATTTTTTTATTTTCTTAATTATTCTGATAAAACTGCCCAAAGTGACTCCATTTCAGTGGCAGGGCTGGCTTCAGTGGCCACGTGCACTGAGAGAGAACATAAGCTTGAAACAAAACAGTTTAGTGAGAAGAGGAAAAAAACAAAGATATAGATATTTAGCACACATCACTGTATAATTTCCATAAAACATATATTAAGGCATGTAGAGGATAATGAAGGGACAGTTTTTAATGAGCTAACATGGGTGCTACTGCAGGAGCAGAACCAATAATTTTTAACATCATCATCCTGGAATGTTGAAGGAGAAAGAAAGGAACAAAAACTCTGATTCCCTGGAGTGTTCTACATATTGCCAAAAGGATCATTTAAATAACAAAACAGACTTCATCATTTCATTGGACAGGGAGGTGGAAAACATTTCTGATTTAGGGATAGCCTGCCAAGAGTTTTCCATTGCGTTATATGACAAAGATCTTGTTACTTGCCAAAAACTTATCATTCTGGTCAATATCAGTTGAGGTGGATTCTCAGAAGCGTCAAGGAGGAAGCTAACCCCAAGGTGGGAGATTACGAGGTGGAAGCTTGTTAAAATGAACGTGGGAAATGGACACTAATAAAATTCACAGTGCAATTCTATCTATGTATACTCAGAAGCAATCCCCCACTGGGGTGGGGAGACAGTTTCTGTAACTGTCCCTTTTCATTTCATGAACAGGGCTCCTATCTCCTGGATCTGTGGTCCTTTAGTGTTTTTGGACTACAACTTCCAGCTTCCCTAACCATTGGCCATGCTGTCTGGGGTCAAAAGGAGTTGGGAGTCTAACAGCACCTAGAGCCCCCCCCCAATCCCTGCCACAGGAACAAACTGGACTTGATGGTGGTAGGCCTGTTTCTTGAAATTTAGGACTGCCCAATCGTGTATACACAGATTCCAATTTAGCGCACTAAACAGTGCATGTGGAGTGGAAAACCGAATACTCTGCTCCACTTCAGTTTATCTTCCCTGCAGTCTGCCTCCCAGCATCACTTTTCGTCTCACTAGAAATAAGTCAGCCCAGTAGAGGGAAAAGGGCTATGGCGAAGGTCTGGGAAGAGCTCTCAGCTCCTCTCACCTGTGCAAGACTTTTAAAACTGGGACTTCTCACTCAGCCAGGTTTTAAAGGAGATTAAGGCAGACCCACATTATAAGAGATGGGTCTGTCACTTTCACATTTAGTTTAGTTCTGTACACTGACCTGTCATCTGCTGATTTAACCACATACATTGGATACTGAACTTACTCCTAATTGACCCAAGGTAAGGAAAGCTTCTTAGTATCTAGAGCATTGTACTGGGAGGAAAGTTCAAAACCATTCTTTTCTGTCAAGCCAACCTTTTCATAGAACTACAACACTGCAAAGAGCATCACTTAAATAAGATTATTTGAGACAGTATTCAAATTATGGTGGATAACACAGGTAGGGCTTGGTAAAATTCAGAGATTCTGCTTCTACTTTTCTCTCTCTCTCTCTCTCTCTCTCTCTCTCTCTCTTTGGTCAAATCATCCTTCCTGCCCCCAAACCTTCTAGAAACAATATCTAAGAGTGCCATGACCTAAGGGGTGGGAGATCAGCCCACCTTGTAGCTTGAGCATTGTCTTAGAAAACTAACTCATGTTCAGTCTCCATCAGCCTTGATTATATGGTTTTAGAATGGCAGATTTTAGAAGCCACAGCAGTATTGCTCCAATAAATATGGAAAAAAGATCCCCCAGTTTTGATGCACGTTTGACTAAAACTCATAAATACATTTATGGACATGCTTATGATAAAGCCAGGTCCAGAATGTTGTTGCCAACTTTTTTGGTGAATGTATAAGCATTTCAAATCAACCAAATTGCCACCTAGAAGTTGAATCTCAATCTAAAGTGTCAACCCTTCAAGGAAACAATCAAACAAAACATTGAATGAATGGGAATCCAGCTTTTTAAAAACAAAAACAAAATAACCAAGACCCCATCTGAAAATCCAGCTCAAGGGAATTAAAAAAAGAAAAGCCAGCTGCATTTTTGTGTTCTAAGCTAGAGTTAGAACAATCTGAGTTTCTTTCAGAAAGATTTGAGACAGAATGAAGGAACCAGTTTGGGAAGACTTTGTTCAGCTTGACCTTATTTTTGGTATGAAGCAATTTCATGTGCCTCATGATGGCCCAACAATATTTTGAGTGTAAAAACTTTGGCCCACAGGGTCCAAGTAGAAGTAAAATTCTTTCCAAAAGGTGTGGTGTAAGGCAGCCCATGCTTTAATGTTACATCTCTCTGGGTTTGCTGTGCAATGCCCTATCCACGCCTGAGTGCTATGCTGCAGAACTGCAAAGCCCTTATTGCAAGTTGGTGCCAGCTTTAATGCAGAGCTTGACTACTGTTAAAAAGGTCTAGGTTGTGTGGTGAAATATATGTCCAGCCCATGGATCACTAGAGAAGAAAGCATCCTCCGAGAGCACGGAAGTTGACTACCACGGCCCTAAACGATATTCAGATAAGCCTTACCAGGTATGAGTCCCCTTTCAGAAGACAACTGCAGGGCGAAAGAAGGTCCAATTTAGACCCTCATTCTGGTAAGTTTCCTGGCTAGGTATGAATCAGCACTGTTTGAATACGTTTCAAGAGAGGTTTGGTTGGTATTTCTTGAGGTCTGCCAAGTCCTCTCTCTTTGCCTGCACCTCTGGCCAATCTCTATTCTGAGCTGGTTCTGCTCTCAAACTACTGAGAAACTAATGAGGGCTCATTTGAGGTGGTCTGAGCTTGGAGCAGGTGCATCACTAGTCCTATGCTCTTAATATACGAGCTCAATTGCTCTGAAAGGTCACGGCAATGATTACTGCACCCTTCAGAGAGGAGATTGATGAAGGCTGCAGGCGTCTGTGTTTGAGAACTCTACTTCCAAATCACCTACAAGCAGTGCTTTTCTTCTGGGGGGATGCAGGGAGACAGATACCCCTAAACAGTTTGTGAATCTAAGTTTGGCCTCATTGAGGGGCAGAATTTCAATATGAGTAGGAAAATGAGAGTACTCCTAAACATTTTTTTTAGAAAAAAAGCACTGCCTACAAGCTGTTGTGGTGGGGAATAAAGCAAGAGGATACATGGTGAACACCAGGGGTCTTGCTTCAGTCCCCCCTCCTCCCCTCCTCCAGTAGCCAGGAGAGTTTTGCTTCACACATTCCTTGGAGGCTGATTCATGGCCCATCCAGTCTAGTTCAGATCTATATTCCATCTAGTCCCCTATCCAGTTTTCATCAGCAGTACCTGATGGTGCAAGCGACAAGTGCTTGGTGAACACAGTGATCTATCCAGCACACAGTTTTGATCCTATTACTTGAAGCCCTGGAGAAGCCAGGAGGAAAATGCTCAGTGGCACTCTCCCGAGTTGGCTGCGATGTGAGAAGAAATGTCACCCATCCAGTCCCAGTTTTGTTTTTTCTTTCCCTACAGATAAAAGACAACCTCTCTGGGTTGCAGAAAGCATTAAAGCTTCACCTAGTGGCGAATCACAGCCAACTAAGCTTTTCTAACCTCTTCCCTCCCCCATTATATCTTCCGCCCGCACCCCTAAAACACGTCCACATACATTGCCCACACCTTCCATTCCATCCACCCAACCCCTAAGCTTGGGAAAGAAGAAAACGCCGGCCCATCCCAGCCACAGCAACATCCTCACAACCCTAGCAAGATTCCAAAGCCACTTTGGGTCCCCACACGGTCAACCTTCTGTCTTCTGCCACATCCACAAAGTTCTGTCCATCCATTTGTGCTTCCTTGCTGTCTTTCCTTTTCCTGTGAAAGGCTGTGAGCATAAGCAGGGAAGTGTGGCCGTGCACGGGTTGCTTAGCTCCACAGGCGAAAGATGCTAAAAGCCATTCTGATTGGCAGAGGAGAGACCAAAGGGCTGTGTGTGTGTGTGTGTGTGTGTGTGTAAGGGGGGAGAAGGAGGAGGAGAAGAAACATCTAGTGCTCACTTCAGTAGAGGGTTATGAATTCCCTGGCTGCAGATACAAAGTCATTCTTCACACAACCTTCCTTCCCTCCTGCCGGCACTTGCAGGCTAGAGAGCTCCAGGAGATGAGCTACATCACCTCCCAGTCTTGTTGCCAGCATCCCTTTTCTGGCTCAGTGCTGCCTCTTTGCCGAGACACAGCTGTTCTTTTGCTGCCGGTCCTTAGCCTTGGGAGTCTGCTGCACCTGACACAGAGGACCTGTCTGGCAAGAATGGAAACGGCTCCTGCACTATAGCCTGCTGAACTGTGGGCAGTTGGTACAGGCCATATCAGCAGCAGCAGCAGCAGCAGCAGCAGCAGTGGGGTAGGAGGAAATGGGACAAAGGCAAATGCCATCCCTGCTCTCCCTTGATGGCAGCTATTCTTTCCCGAAAAGTTTCCGCAGCTTGACTGAAGGAGATGGGTGTGCCGAGAGAACCCTAACAATGACCACGCGCGTTGTTCAGCGGTTGGGGTGCAGACGCCGTGGGTTAAAACGTGGCTCCGTGGAACTTCACAGCATTCACAGCAGCCAGGGCCTGTGCTGGAAGAATAGGAGAGAAGAGAAGAGAGTCAGTGACAGTTGTTAGAACCTAAAGTTGTGAGCCTGTTGCACAGGCCTTTGACATTTCCCTCACAGCAGGCTTGAGGGATTTGCAGAGGCTGTGAATTTGCTAGATGTGCCTTGAAGGAATGTCATAGTGAGAGGTTTCAATGACATTAACAGCTTTATCTTTCTCTCTGGGAGCTTTCTCAAAGCCTTAAAGGTCTTCACCAAGAAAGGTTGGGTCAAACACATGTCAGTCAGAGTTCTAGCACACAATTCAGAAGCACACTCTAAAGTAACCTTTCCCAACCTGGTGTCCTCAAGATGTTTTGGACTACAGCTCCCATCAGCCTCAGTCAGCACAGCCAACCTGGAGAGCATCAGGTTGAGGAATACCACTGTAAGAATTTTTGGTCTGTCATTTTGGTCTGTCAACCACAGATGATGACTAGACTAACAGCACAATCTTATATGTGTATAGTGGGAAGAAAGTCCTACTTTATCAAATGGGGCCAATGCCCAGGCCATTGTCCAGCCTAAAAGATGGAGTTGTGGCTTATCGTAGATGCCCATCTCCATCTTTTGGTTCAGTTCACAGAAGCAACCTAATGTGTTATAGCCACAGAACCTGTGGCCTTCCAGATGCTGATGGACAACAACTCCTGTCATCTCCAACCTTTGACCAGGCTGGCTGGAGCTGATGGAAGACTAAATCCAACAAAAAATAATATTTCCATAGCTTTGTCCAAATTTTGGATGTTCTGTACCAGTTGGTTTGTGAAAGGAGCAGCTATGGTGTCCCTAATGGTGGCACATAGCAGTTCAGCTTAACATCAACCATTCCCTTAGTTATGAAGTGGCACATTGGGTGGGTGGGTGGGAAAACTGTTATGCTAGCTTTCCAGCAGGTTGGTGGCTGTTGCTTTCTGGGAGGGAGAGGGATGAAGTGGTGGGGTGGTCAGTGTGATGCAAAAGCACTGGCAGAATCAACCGAGTGCTCCTGATGGTGCATTTGCATCATGCTAACCTTCCCACGGCATTGTCCTTCCTCTCCCAGTAAGCAACAGCAACCTACCTGCTAGGAAACCAGCAGCCCTGACCTTGCTGCTGCCCTGCCCCACAGAAACACCACCCTAGTAAGCTGTAGTGACACTGGCGTTGGGATGGTGGCTCTGCCACTACTGCTTTTGATTTCCCTGATTAAGCTTATGGCCTTTTAAGAATAGAAGTTGCTGGGAACTGCAAGTGGGCAGAGAGCTGAAGTGTCCATGCCCAGCTTGCAGGCTTCCCACAGGTCAGCCACTGTGAGAATGGAATGTTGGGCTAGATGGGCCATTGCTCTGACCCAGCAGGTTCTGCTTATGTTCTTAACTTAAGTATGTTTTCTGATTTCCAGTATTGAAATACACCCAGTGGCATGTTCGGGCCCAGGCTATCTACTGTGTTCATGACATGACCAAGCAGGGTCTCCTGGGTCCATACTATGAGCTACAACAATGTGCTCATTCGAGAATATTCTCCTGGTTTAATTGCCATGGGGAATCACTGCTCATTGAAATAAGGTCACTTTGCCCCAGGGACTCCAGAACAAAACATGGCACCTTGATTCACCACAGAAGCATCTTGCCCTTAACTCTGCAGAAGGAGACTGAACTTACACAGCACAGAAGAAAGGGTTACCTTAGTGGATCTCAGTGAATGGATGGATTGGTGAGGAGAGGAGATGAAACTCTTGGAAAAGAAGCTTACCACTTCTTTTCTCCAAGAGACCAAGGCATATAGAGATATGAAATGAATATAGTAAAAAAAAAGAAAAAGAAAGAAAAGCAAAAGTAAAAGTAAAAAAAAGAAGTGCTTACTTTATGGCTCAGACACGCATAAAATGGCTGTCGCCGCCCTGGGATGAATCAGACGAGAGGGACTTGGTCGGTGGAGTCGGGGAGGCTGGGGAGGTAGGAGGGCTCGGGGTGGCACACTGAGCTGGAAACAAGAAATGGAGACAGGGTCTGAAGAGCATACAGAAATGGGAAGCAAAGGCAAGGAAACACATTTCATAGAGCAGTCTTTGACAACCTGGTGCCTTTCAGAAGTTGCGAAACTACATCTCCCATCAGCCCCAGCTAGTGCTGGCTGTGGCTGGTGGGGGTTGCAGTCCAATAACATCTGGAGGGCACCAGGTCGGTGAAAGCTGCCATACAGCAAACAGGGGTTAGAGGAAAGGGAATAGGAAGCATGATCAGAAATCAAAGAGTGGCACAAAATAGCTCCCTCCTTGTGTTATGTGTGTGTGATTTCCACTAGCACTGCACAGAGAAAACCACAAAGGCAATGATGGGAACAGCACACCATTCATCCTGTAGGGAGGTAGACACACCACCTTGTAGGAAGATGGGCACCCTACCCTGCCATGTGATTAAAGGAAGGCTGAATAATAATTTTTTTGCTTGGTGTCTCATCAGAAAATAGCGCTAAGCATTAATATTCATGTGAATGGAATGCCTTCATAGCAGCCCCGGAAGGTGCAGCTATTCATGATAGATTCTTTAGACCAGACGTGGCTTGAATAATAATAATCTCCCTCCAGCCTCCTGCACAAGCCTGGCCACAAAGCAAATAAGTCAGCATTACACAGCAGCTTCTTCAGCAGCCAGAGGTAGCTGAGTAGTAGAGTGCAGGTGGTGGGGAATCCATCAAATGCAATGATAAACACACAGCTAACAGGTCCCCAAGCCATTTTCATCAGGCCATGAACCCCACTGCCAGCTGCCGTGTTTGCCGTTCCCACAGGAAAATGGCATTCCTGCATTTGAACAGTGAGGTCTCATAGGTTGGCGCTGCACTGTGTGAAGAAACACTGTGTTTTGTTTGTCGTGAATCTCCCGCCATTTGGCATGACCCCGGTCTCTTACTCTTTTCCTAGGGTTGAACTGATAGAAATCGAAAACACTCAGAAAGGGAAGCAGCGTTACACATGGTATCTTGGACTCCTCTGGTATTCCCCTAATGGAAATCAGTGGGAACTGCCCCCTGCCATGCATGCACTAGCCTAGGACAGCAAACACATTGCTCTCCAGATGTTGTTGGGCTCCAGCTTCCATCAGCACCAGCCAGCATAGCCAATGGCCAGGAGTAATAGGAGTCATAATCCAACATCTAGAAGACACCATGTTGGCTGTCCCTGTACTGAACAGTAACACTAACACTACACCTCCGGGAACAGTAACACTACACCCACACCTCTTGTGTGGGGAAAAGCCCCCAGGACTTTTTTCTTGCTTAGGCAGCCACTGCAGCAGCAGCAGCAGAGGAAGAAAATGTGCAGGCCAAGGAGAACCTTATTTTCTCCTCTTGTTAGCCATCTGGTTGCCCCTGCAGCCAAGCACAAGCTCATCTAATGCCACCATTATAGGGAAAATTGGAAGCTGTGCCCATCAGCAGCAACAGCAGCTGGTATTAGCAGGAAGGGCTAACTACTTCATCTTACTCAAGACCTAGGTTTAGGAAGAGAACTGGACCTCTTTGCACTTGGCTCACTGGGCAGGTATGTGGTCTTCCTGCCTAAGCTTTAAGCTAAGGCTTCCTCCATTCGAGATATGCTGAATTATTCCCGAGTCCCTCTAAATGGATGGCGACCTCTCAGTACTTTGGGCCACGGAAACTGGGCTGCCTTTGTTGGAGGGCCCTGCGTTGCATTAGCTAGTTCAGTGTTTCCCAACCTTTTTTGGGCAAAGGCACACTTGATTGATGAAAAAAATCTCGAGGCACACCACCATTACAGCCCCGTGACGTCAGCGCGCAGCGTCACGCCGGGAGGGACGCACGAAAGTGTAAGTTTCAATTTTTTCCCCTCCCCCTTGCCGGGGAACCTCCAAGCTTTGGGGGTGGGGGGGGAGGAGGCAGCAAAGCGAGGGACTGAGGGACTCCTCCAACTCCTCCTCCTGCTCGTCCACGGCCGGGTAGAGCCGCTTGAGGCGCCGCTTGAGCTCCTTCTCCTGCTCGTTCAGGGCTGGGTCGCCGCCGTGAGCGGAGGCGGCGTGGGGGACCCCACAGGTCAGGGCGAGTCGGCTCGTCAGCTGCCACGACAGGAGCAGGGCGGGCGGCGAGGGGGTGGCTGGGTGGGGGAGATCCCCCTCGGATCTGCTCCCTCTCAGGCTCGGTCGGCGCTGTCACGAAGCGAGACGAGGCTGGAAGGCGCCGCTCTCCTCCTCCCTCCGCAGCAAGCGTGGCCTGGCGCGAATCAAATCGCCGCTCCTGTCCCGTGCGCTCAGGTGGGCAGCTCCAAAGGGGCGCCCGCGTGCGCCGGCTTGGGGTGGCTGCCCAAGCGCCTTCTCTCTCTCGCCTCCTCCCACGAGTTCGGGGTCAGCCTCCCGCTCCTCCTCCGCTTCCTCCTGCCAGCCGCCGGGGTCTTTGGTCGCCGCAGCCTCCCGTCCAAGAAGCACCTTCGCCCAGGCAAGGACGCGCGCGGAGCTGGCGAGCGCCGAGGGGTGGGGCTTTCGCGCCCGCCTCCCGAACCAGGAGGGCCGGGTCGCCGCCGTGAGGGAAGGGCGCCGGGGCGCTGCTGCTGCTGCTGCCGCCGCCGCTCCCAGCAGGCATGGGCCCAGCTGAGGCGGCGGCGGCTGTTGTGGTGGTGGTGGCGATAGCGGGCGGAGGAGGGGCGGCGGCGGGGCCGAGGTGGCCGGCGGCGGCGGGGGAGGCGGCGGCGGGTGGAGCAGGAGGGCGGCCGAGGCCGGTGAGGGAGTAGGGTTGCCTGGGGCTTGAGGAGCCGTCGCCGGGAGTTGCTGCTGCTGTTGTTGCTGCTGCTGCCCGGACATGCCGGCCTCCTCCTCGTCCGCTGTCTCGCGCTCCTCCCTTTTGCGCGCGCTGCCCCGCCGCCGCCCCATTGGCCGGATCCTGTCAGCTGATCCTGTGTTATTTCCTGTGTGTGTGTGTGTGAGGGGAGAATGGAGAGAGAAACCTCGGCACCGCCACCGCGGAGCCGCCCCCGGCTCGACGCGGATCCTCGCCGCCGCCGCCCCGCCTCTCGCCGCCCGACTCGCCCGCCTCCCTCCCACGGCACACCAGGCAAGGTCTCGCGGCACATTAGTGTGCCGCGGAACACCGGTTGGGAAACACTGAGCTAGTTACCTGAGGTTTTTGAAAAAATGGGATGCAACTGGTTATTTTAAGACCAGCTAAAAGAATGGGCCAGCTTTTACATAATATATGCATGGTATATATTTAATTTGCTAGAATTGATGTTTCCCACACATCACTTCAGGACCCGTAAGTTTATGCCAATTGCCAGGCATTGCTCCTTAAGGGCTGCAAATTAAAGGAGTAAAAAAAGAGGACAGCAAAGTTCAATGTAATGCATGTCACTGCACAAGCAACTTGACAGCCGAGACCAATTAATATATGTTTGACATTATGTGGCACTTGGCAGCAATGATGCAAATATGCCCCTTTTGACACATTGCCACTAGTATAAAAGCAAAGCACTGCAGCAGCATGTCTGGCATTGCAAGACAATTCTCTGGCCTTTATAAATCACGATAACTAATTTAAAGCAGTGGTTCTAATTTACACCGGCTAGCATGCCAGCTGTCAAATCCATCTTATTTTGAAAACCTTGCCTGCACAAGGGAATTACGTAGTCATCTGTAATTCATTTCTACCATGACTTATATATCCCACACTTAAATGCAGAACTTGCAGAGGGAGGAAAAGCCTTTTGTTTCTTTGCGGCTGCATTGCTCCACTGCCTAATCTTCCTTGCACCGGTACCTTACCTGAGAGCATGCGGCCCCGTCGGGAGGCTTCTGCAGCCAAGGCGCAGGAGATCTCTATTCGCTTCTCCTGTTCCTGCAACTGGGTTTCTGGGTCCTGGGTCACGTCCACTTCTCCCTCGTTGAGGGGGACCACATTCTGCATGCTGCAAGAGAGGGAATTTGGGGTTATTACCTGCAGCTGGCTGCCCTAGGACATGTTTTGGCTACAAGGGAGTTAGCACTCAAAGAGGCAGATCAGTGGGATAGGAGAAGCATTGATAGATGGTACACACATACAAACATCACTATTCCCTGAAGAGGGGCCACTGCAAAAACAGCCCCATGAAAATTAAGCATGTTCAATAGCCACAGAATAGTGACTGGTTAGAGGGGAGGAATGGAAAATAGGTGGAAATGGAATGGAGTATCCTCAGAGAACAACAGCTGAGTGATAGGGAGGAATTCTGACAAATATGGAAAAGGAAACAAAAATTGCAGCAGTTCCGAGTGCTCGTCTGTACTCAGGAATGGAAATCAGTCAAGCAAATTCAATCAGTATTTGTTCACATAGTTCCACAAATGATACATATTTTATTACTTTGTTTTACATTGTTTTGACATTTCCTTTACAATGACATGAATGTATCTTATGTAAATAGCTATGTGATTTATGGAAATTGCCAGCTTCTTACATCCCTTGTCGTAGGTTATCTACAACTGGCTAAGCTGCACAGTTTTTCTATTGTATTCAAAAAATCTGGGCTTGTGGGTGGGGGAGAAACAGAAGCTAAGCAGGGAAAGCATGGGAGCCGGATGTTTTGTTTACAATGTCATGCAGATGCCCTGTTAAAAGTGAGTGAACAGAGCATGGCTATTCCTTAGTAAATGCCCATGGAAAAGCAGGCATAGATTGATGATCAGTGACTGGATGGCATAATGAGAAAGCAAAAACATGTGATGTGGGCGAAAGAAGGTTCTGGTCTGCAATGCACCTGGATTTGGCAATCAGCGTCTTTATCCTCTCCACTTTCTTTTGCTTCTCCTTCATCTCCTCTGGGCTCAGTGGAGTATCAGGTTCCAGCTCAATGTACCTTTCTGGGATGAGGACTTTGTCTGGGGTGGAAAGCTGAAGAGCAGAACGAGACAGACTGTGAGCTGAAAAGGTGGCAATGAAGATTAACTGACATAATAACCTTTCTCGAGCATCCAACCCTTGGCCATGATACTACCCACATCTATTTCTAATGGAAGTTCTAGATCAGATCTCACACAAAACACCCTAACTCTGAATTGGGCTACATAATTCTCTCCAGATTGTCCCCTTGTCTGTCCTGGCATCTTGACATGAAGAAGAAGAAGAAGAAGAAGAAGAAGAAGAAGAAGAAGAGGAAGAAGAAGAAGAAGAAGAAGAAGAAGAAGAGTAGTAGTAGTAGTAATAGTAGTAGTAGTAGTAGTTTGGATTTGTTATCCCGCTTTATCACTACCCGCAGGAGTCTCAAAGCGGCTAACATTCTCCTTTCCCTTCCTCCCCCACAACAAACACTCTGTGAGGTGAGTGGGGCTGAGAGACTTCAAAGAAGTGTGACTAGCCCAAGGTCACCCAGCAGCTGCATGTGGAGGAGCGGGGAATCAAACCCGGTTCACCAGATTACGAGTCTACCACTCTTAACCACTACACCACACTGGCTCTCAATGAAGACAGCATTCTTCATCCCCTCCACCCCTGCAAACATACAGCGTAATCATTTAGCCAGGGCGCACACCCCATACAAAGTGGTAACCCTCAAGGACCATCTTTTTTATCTTACTTATTTAGTACACTAATATTCTGCCTTTCCCCCATTATAGAAATCAAGGTAGTCTCACACCCAAACACCAGTCAGACCCAAATCTACCTAGCTTCAGCAAGGTGGCTGCATGGTGTGCCACAGCGACAGCTGGTAGGGCAGAAGGCGGAGAGACCAACAGCAGGTGGAGTCAGAGCCAATGACAGACAGAGCCAACTTAAGTCTGCTTTTGTCCCCATCCTTCTGCCTGCTGAGTTCTGTAAGTGAAATACTGAGACTAAGGAGGAGGAAGCTGACAAGGCAGCACCCCCTGCCTGGACTGGCTGTAAGCAGGAAGACAGGTGGGGGTTGACTGAGGTCAGACTAAGATGGATGGAGCAATGGCCCATTCGTCCTGAGGGAAAAGACTCCACTGCCCTCGGACCATGCCCTGAGATCTTGCTCCATCTTTACATGTACTTCTGTGAATTTCAAACCAGGCACCTAAACCACACTGTAAATTCGTATGAGGGAGAAGGATCCTATTTTTTGTAGCTGGGAAACCCAGCCAAATGGACAGGATATAAATAATAAATTTATGATGATGATGATGATGATGATTTGTAGGCCAAGGCACAGAGGAAGCATGGACTTCACCTCCTTGCTGATGTCCACATTATAATGCTCTGGCTCCAGCTCCATTTTGCGCAGACGTGCAATCTCCTCCCGAGGAGTCTCATACATCCTTCCAGAGTCCTCAGAGCGCAACGCTGCTTCCAGATCTGATATGTCCACCTCATGGATGCTGCGATGTCTGCGCACCTAGAACATATCATGCCCCCACCAACACACACATTAGAGTTGGGACGTGATAGAAATGCAGATCGCTCTCCATAAGCACTTGCTGGTATTTTATATTTCATTCCTTGCCCGTTGCCTCCATCATTTTCCTGCCACCTCTAAGGCAGCCTTCCTTTGGTCATGCTGGCTGGGTCCAATGGGAATGGTCACTCAAAAGGTCAGTCAGAAGGCCACTATGCTGGGAAAGGGCAGCTCTGTGGTCTTGCTCTCAAAGGTGGCAACTTTGTATTGTGGGCTGCCTTATACCAGGTGGGCAGACTCACATGGCTGAATCATCTCTACCATTGTTGTGCAATTTTAGGTGACAAGCCAAAACATTTTCATTTACCCAGGTCTTGGGAGAGCAGTTCGTTATGTCAGTGGGCTTTTTTTTTTTGCTTTTTTTTTGTAAGTGGAGGTGGGGGTAGGATTTGCTGCATATCTGCTTTTAATGTCTTTGTAATTTATACAGTACTTGTGCAAGTCACTTTGAGACACCTTAGTGCAAAAATGTAACTAATAAACAACAACAGGGATACATTACCACTTTGTAAGAGGCAGGTGCTTTAGAGAGAAGGCTGTCTGCCTGTTGCTGATTGGCTGGAAGCTGCAAGCTCCGCCTCTTCTCCTTCATAGAACCACTTTGGTGGCGCTTCATGCGATCAATCTGCTCCTCTACGCTCATCTTTGCCTTCATTTCATTCGAAAATACTGCACTCTTTGGCCTGTCCTGGGGAGACACACACACACACGAGCCTCGTGGTTATATATAGCAATGGGAAGAAGCTGGTTTATCTTGAGTAGGAAAATGCCCTGCTCAAAAATCTCCCCTGAATTTCCCAATGTTATTATTCATAGACCTATACGTAACCTTTTTGGTTTCTGTTGTGAGGAGAAGAAGGGGCTCACTTGAGATATCAGGAGAGAAATACACAAACATAGAAAGCTGCCTTATGCAGAGTCAGGCCATTGGTCCATGCCTGCATACACACCATAAGCTTGCAGAACATGACTTCCCACAAAGGATCCTGGGAGCTGTAGTAAGTTATGGGTGCTGGGAATAGTGGTGCTATGAGGGGTCTAGAACACCCAGAGTTGTTTGGAGGAAGCAATGTGTTTTAAAGGTATGGTGCATATGCAACCCTAGCTGAATATTATCTATACATTAATTGGCAGTGACACTCCAGGATTTCATACAGGGATCTCTCTCCATCCTACCTGGAGATGCTGGGGATTGAATCAGCAATGCTGTACCACTGAGCTATTATGGCCCTTCAAGATGGAGAGCCAAGGGATGGACAGCCACTAGGCAAAACAGTTTGGGGGAGACAGGACGGGCAAAGTGAGTCTGAGAGATTGTGATTCTGAAAGGGGTGACAGATTTGGGAGGAGAAAAGAGGAAGCAATTTAACAATCCATTGGCTGCGCTCTGCAGCTGCGAGTTTATTGCTGCTTGTGCATTTTTGGGGAACAGAACGGCAGTTACTGAGTGAAAAGAAAGGATGAGGAGAAAAGACAGATGTTGACTGACTTCAGCACCCTAGGGGAGAGTTTCCAGAGCACTGCAAGAGAAAGTTAAATGCTAATCTAGTTAAGCCCCAGTGCTCTTTCCTGGCGACACTATCTTCGGAACAAAAGAGGAGAGTTGGTGTAATTCAGTGGCCAAGGGCAGAAGGGCTGTGGCTCAGTGGTGCAGAATGTGCTTTGCATGAAGAAGGTCCCAAGTTCGATTCCCAGCACTCTCAGGTACTACTGGGAGAGAACCCCACCTCAAATCCTGGAGAGCTGCTTCAGCCAGTGTAGACAGTACTGAGCTAGATGGTGCAAATCAGTATAAAGCAGCTTCCAATGTTTCTAACTAGTTCAAACCTTAACTCTAAAGCCATCAATTGACTTAGCTCTAAGTAAGCCATATTCTCTCTGCCCTCTATTTGCAATAAGGGGGATCATAGCAACACTGACCTACCTCATAGGGTTGTCATAAAGAGGGTAGGAATTGTGTATACAAACTCCTTTCAATGCTCAAAAAGCAACACAGTAGAACTTTGATTGTCAAATGCTTCGGAAGTCAAACATTTCAGTTTTCGAATGCCAACAACCCAGAAATGAATGCTTCCATTTTCAAACATGCCTCGGAAGTCGAATGGCTTCCAAGGCATGTTTCTCCATTTTTTCAATGGATTTTGCTAACCAGCAATTGTGCCTCAGTTGTCAAATGTTTTGGAAGTCAAACGGTCTTCCGGAACTGATTACATTCAACAACCAAGGTTCCACTGTATATCCTTGACTGGTATTCCTCCCCTCTGAATATTAAAGTTCTCTTGCCATCTATGCAGAGGAGGGGTGGTTTGCTTTGTGGGCTCAGTGCCCAATGCTGCATGCCCACTGGCTCTGCTTATGCCCTCCTTGCATTAGGCAAGCTTCTGAGGCAGATGCCAGCTGTGCTTGCGAAGTCTCCTCCTCACAATCAGAAGACCTGTGTGATCATACAGAGGAACGGACACAATGACATCTAGCTTACCTTTAGAGCTTTGCTCATAGTGCAGAGGTGGGGCAGGGAGATCTTTTCCAGCCTCTGGGGTCCATTTTATGTTGGTTTTTAAAAAACATTTACTTGGTTGTTCTTGTGCTGCTTTTAAAAATTATTCTAGCTGCTTTTAAGGATATGTCAGTAAATTGTCTTGGGACATATATGTGGAAGGCAATTCACAAGTGAATAGATAATACCAATCTTTTTATGAGCTTTTTGCTGCTGTTTCTAAACTTTTGCAACTTTTCCAAAACATGAGAAGAGGTGAAAGAGCTGTGATTAGGATCTCCTCTCCAGCTACTAACAGGAACAGCACCAGGACTTGTCTAGTATGTGTCTCTTCCCCCAGGGTGTGTCTATGCGTGCGTGAGTGTTCGAGATTTACATCAAGAAAAAGGCATGGGGTGTGTGGAGAGAAAGGCTAAACACCCTCTCTAAAATTGCCATGCCCCTTCAAAGCAGCCCCAAGGTGTTCTAACTAGTAAAACAAAACAAAAAAGGAAGGAGACTATAACCTGAGATCTTCTTAAATTCCTCTCCCACCCTCCTGCTCCTTTCCCATCTTAGCAAGCTGCATAACCCTCTCTGTATGGCCTCAATCCCTCTGATGGTAATTATAATTAGGAAAAGACAGCAGAATTTGATCTTACCCGGGCATTCAGCCCATTGGCTAAGTTGCTGGCACCCCTCCGCACCACACCTGACATGGGGATGGCGTCGTCATCCATGGGTGATTTGGTCCTTGGGGGAACAATGCCAACTGGGAGAATGCAGAGGAGAGGGAAAGGTGTTTCATCAGCAAGAAGCAAAAAGTCAAGTTTCTGGCAATGGCAATAGCAATAGGTATGGACAGACATAACCATGTTTTCTTTATTTGGGACACCATGGCCCTTTGATTGCAAGGAGAGATGGCTTCCCACATCCACCCAAAGATTAAAAAACCTACATTATTTTCAGATACCGAGCGGCTGGAACAGCAGGATTTGACAGCCACAACTTTCACTGAAAATGCTGCTTCTAAGTATTTTTTATGCCACTTTTTTCAGTTGCATACAGCTACACACAAGGCTGTTTATATCAGAACACTGTAATATCATACTACACAACAACTAGTTATATTGAAATTAAACAGAAGTGTAAGAGACTTGTATCTAGAGATGAAGCAAGCTCATAGGCCCATTACATCTTTAATAGTTTTGTAGATATGGAAGTTTGGATGGGTGCAGCTTGTCATATCATAGGACCAGTGGGGTGAGCCAAGCTGCACCTGTCAAAATTCCTTCTTCCAAACATCCGAAGATGCAGGAGCCTTGTCCCACACTGCATCTGGTCATCTCCGTGGGAAAGAGCAGAAGAGTGCTAATGGTGTTGACCAGACATCTGTGTCCTTCCAGATTTCAACAGCAGCCTGCACTAGAAATGTACTGTTGTAGTGAAGCTGCTTTTGCATCTATTAACACTAAATTGTCATCATTCCTAAGCCCATCTTAATGGACCATAATGGAAATGGAAGCTTTATTCTTTGAATATACTTCCTCCTTGAGTCCCATTAAAAACAAAAGAGGAGTCTTGCTGGGTCAGACCAAAAGTCCACCCACAACTGCTTCCCACAGTTGACAACCAGATGCCCACAAGGAAGTCCACAAGCAGGCCATAAGGGCAGCAATATGGAGCAGATCTATCCATACAATCTATCTGCCAGTCAGGAGGACTACTCAATAGACAGGTTGTCTGGAGGAGTCCTAATCAGTAAGCCAAATCAGGTCCCCTCCCAGGATGCACTTTGTTTGCCAGTACCTTTATTGAGAGCAACTTGCTTATCAGCATCCGGGTCTTGCCTTGTCTGCAAGAGACCAGCCTCCACAGCAGAATTGGAGGCTGACGTCCGGTGATGGTCCTTCTTGTTCTGCTCAAAGCTGGACTTGGACTGTGGGGGCAAATACAATTCCCTGTGAGGAACTGCAAGGGAAGCTGAAGAGAGGTCCTGTCTCCAAACAGCTGCCACTTTCCTTAACTACACAGGATTTCAGACACAGACAAACACACATGCCAAAAATGAACAGAAATGCCCACACAGAAACAGTGAAAGGAAGCAGTAATCAGAAGAAGCACCTTTGCCCCCTGCCCATCATCCAAAAATGACCCCAAGGAGAGTCCAATGCCCAAGAACCAATCAGCTGGAGAAATTGGGGCAAATTCATGCTCAACTCAAATTTGAAGAACCAAAAGCAAATCAAAGGTGTGGTGGTTCAGCGCACACTGTATCCAAAGCACTGGCATTTGGGAGCAAAGATCTGTGGATTTTTTGTGCTTCTATCTCAAAATAGTGGTGCTTAACACAGTCCCAGCCTTCCAGAGTTTTTCTTATCTGTGGATAAGATTTCCACTGTTGTTGTTGTTTTGTTCAATTGAAAGGCAAGCCTATATGAGCCAACAGTCCAAGTAGAAATGGTACCAACAGCTTAGGTACAAGGTTTGTCTCCATCCCATCTACTCCTATTGCTAGCAGGATGCAGACATTTAGGATATAAGTATTGGTGAAGGAAGCTAATTACATAAGCTGCCGTCACCACTCCACTGAATTGGAGACTCAAAACCATACAAGAGCAACAGAGCTTTGGAAAATCATTGCCCCCTTGATCAGAAAATATGCAACAGCTTGAAGAGGTGTTTCCCCACCCCTTCCTCTGGGAAAGATGGGCATTTTAACATTGGCAAGGAAACCTCCCCAAGTCCCTCTCCTTCTGCTTCATCTCAAGAGCATCTCTGTGGGCAATCTCTGCTATTAACACAGATGACTATCACAGGGGATGAATGCAGGGAAGGGAAAGGACAATAGAAGTAAAACCACAGCGAGGAATGGCAGAATGAGCCAGAGCAGTTGCAACCATTATATTGGTCCCTTGCACCAAACAGCCTTTCTGTCAGCCTGGGCATTTTATGTACATCATAATGAACTCTGTATGTGGGCCTCTGTTACAACATAAACACCCAGAATAAAAGGTATGAGTCTCTGTGCATTTTGTGCAGAACTTCTAGGCAGTAAAATGTTTGAGGGTTCTATTTCAATCTGGTCCAGAGTGAACATTTGACTCACTTCTCTCTTGTATCACAATAGCATCCAATTCTTGATAAGTTCATAGGAATGACTTAATCCTATAATGACAACTTTATCCATAGTCACCAGTAAGGCATGTTTTAAAACTTAACTTTTGAGGTTACTTTTATTACTATGATTGGGGGGGAAATGCTTTGGGTTTGAGAAAAAAAAGCACCAGCCTTTTAGAAAATACAACAACCACCTTAATTCCTCATTTTAATTTCTTAATTCTTTATATGGCCTTGCCCTAAACTTTGCTGCCACTGTCTGACTTTGGGGATGCGCAAAACCTGTGAAATTCCACTTGGGGAAAAGCAAATGTGGCTTTGAAGCGAGAGCAGCAGGAGGCTTGGAGGTTTTCTTCCCCCACCTACTTTGCAACTGACCTATAATGGTTGCTTTCCCCCAACCAGCTCTTATGAGATCCCAATGGCATGATATCCCCTCTCAACATGGGAGATGAAAAACCAGCTCAGCAGCTTTAAAACATTTCCACTACCTTCATGGGGTTTAACACGGATCAGATTCTGCTTGGTGGAGATGTGAAACCTTTGCAGATATTAATCCAAGGTTATCTTACAAACTAAGTAGAGAGTTACTCTCTGGAGGAACGTGTCATTGTTCATGATATTCTTGTGGACTGATGTGTTTTGTATATCACTTTCCCACTGGGCAAAGAGGCCCACAAGCCACAGGATATTGGCTATCAGTATAAATATAGGCCACAATCAATTGCGGCCACAGAATTGCAATCTAAGGCTGGAGGCAGACAGTCATTTTTGAGAGAGATGAAGGGAGTCTGACAAAGGCATTGCTTTGCATGTACATTTAATAGTTCTTTTGTCTCATTATTGCCACTGGTCAAAAAGGTTTCACAGGTTTTTGAGTTGTTTCAAAAACCCGCAAAACCACTTCACCAAAAGCAAACACCAGTTAAGGAAGCACGCCAAGCAGCAATTTCTCTTTCAAGATGGCTTCAGCTCTCTGAAGAAAAGAAAAGAAAAAATATTGTGTGTCTCCAGCCTAAGTCTCTGATTTGAAATCTGTGTCCCACTCTTGCCTTCTGTTCTCATCCATCATTAGGGTATATCACAACCTGCCATTGAGAGGATGTAGCTCCTGACATTCTCAAAAAGGCAAATTGCCCCAAAGGCTGTTTGGCAGATGACATTTTTCATACCTAGGCAAAATCTACACATAGGAAAAATATCATGTAATGGGCTTCAGGGAGCATAGGTTGCTTGAGAAAGATGACTGGTTAACCATCCGGCTAGGAGCAGCTGGTGGGGAGAGGTGGTAGTGCTGTGGTCTTGGCACCAATCATGTACCAGGATGGTGAAAGGGTTGGGCAGTGTGGGTTCACCTGTACTGCACTGCCTAACCCTAGCCCTGCGCTGTTGCAGGACACGACAATGACACAGCATGGCTCCTCCCCACAAGCTGCTCCCGCACCTGGCTCCACATCCCTCCCCAGTTCCAGGTGAGTGTGGCAAAGGATAGAGCATGCCTCCAGCTCTCAAACTCCATTTTGATACCTGTCCCCTCTTCGCCTCGCTGCTTTGCTGCCAGGAAGGGGAGTTAGGATACGGCCAGAGGCGGCTTTCGGTAGGGAGCGGAGGGACAGTCGGAGGAGATTCCAAGGGCACATATGATTTGGGGAGGGGAGGTCGAGGTGGACCGGGCTCCTGAAGTGGAGAGGAAGCCAAGAAGTGTTAGGAGTAAGAGCAGAGAAACTGTGAGAAGGGGAAGGAAAAGAGAATTAGTGAGACAAAGACTCCAACAGAGACAGGTGTTACACCCAGGACAGGGCACAGCTGCAACCGAGCACCCAGGAGCCCCGACGCCAAATGGCTGGCCTCTCTCTTCATGCTGGGCAACCCAACATCGAGCCACGCAAGCCTGGAATGAGCCTGGTGTTACTGGACCAAAGGCGCACACTGTGAGGGGACTTTCCAGCCGCTTCCAAAATATCTGCCATTTCAAAAAATAAGAATGCATCTCTTTCAAGGCACATTGTCCAAAATGCAGATATTTTATGATCCTTGCAGTCTGCTGCTTGCCCCACAATGTGAACTTATATCTATAGACACAACTGCTGTAGGTTTGAATGACCCAATGGTGAGTGCATACGTGCTGAAATCCCAAGGTTTCGGGAACACAGAAAATGATACCCCCCAAAACATGCATGGGGGTGGAACATGAGTGGGTCTGGGGTTGATGGTTGATTTGGGGCTGAAATTTAGGTTTGATGACAGATGGAGCCAGAGTGACCAAAAAATAAAGATGCCCATCCATTGGCTATTTCCCTCATTGCATTTGGTCATTTGTACAAGTTGGAATGTGATATGCCAGTATCTGCAATGCCTTTTATAGGCATGGAAGAAACATAGGAAGTACCATATATAATTGTCCAATGCCTTTTGGCCCAATCTATTGGATCAGGCTTCTATTTAGGATGGGCAGAGGTTGTAGCAGTAAAAGAAGTTGCTAATCTCCCACCAACTCATAACTACTAAAACTGAATCATTCCAAAGTTTTAGGATGCTTGAAGTATCCCAGCCTAAGGTGCGTGTCAGCTGCTGTCATATCTGAGCACCTTGCCATTTTATGTGCATCACGTGAAGACCAATTCGCATTGCATCCTTAAGGCAGCTATCACTACATGGAGAGCTGCTTGTGTAGCAGCTTTTCTCTGTGCTATCAATCATCTTCTTTAAAATAGTTGCTGATGTGGCATTGAGATGAATGGCTCACAAAGGCTGTGCCCACATTACTTCCCCCCACCCGAAAAACACACACAATAGGAGCAATTTCACCAGGAAAATATAATGCTGCTCTATACCGAATCAGACCATCGGTCATTCTAGCTCAATATTGGTAGCAGCTTTCGAGGGTTTCAGACAGGAGTTCTTGCCAGCCCTTCCTGGTGATGCCAGGGCTTGAACCTGGGACTTTGTGAATGCCAAGCAGATTCTCTATCAATGAGCTATGGCCCTTGCCTAATGCTCTGCAATGATACCAGCAATGATTCAGGATTAGTAACTCGATAAGTGAGCAGACATAATGGAAGAAGGGAGGGAGTCTTGTTGCAGAGTAAAAAGCCTTCAAATAATTATCCTAATTGCTCATTGCCACAGTTTCCCAAATAAAAGCCAGCAGAGCAGTGAAAGTGGCTATATCATCTATCACATAATTCAGTCTACTTGAGGGGTTGTCTTACCCCTATGTGTCCACCTGACTGCTTTGATCTGCATAAAGGCCACTTTTATAAGTGTCATATAACGGGTATTTTGCTCTTGCAAAAGAACTGGTCCTTTAGAGTGGCAGTGCCTACTCTCTGCAGTGGGCAAGAACGCCTGTGGTACTGTATTCAGCATCAGCTTAAACCTTTTTTTGTTTAGGCAAGTCTGCCTCGACGTGTGCACACTGCATTGTGCACATTTGTTTCAACACTACTGATTTTATCTATATTTTGATCTATTTTACGTCAATTAGTTTTATAGTTTGGTTTTAGTAGTATTTTCTTATGTATATTTTAAATTGTGTTATGTAAACCGCTTAGAGATTTTTTGATTAACAATATACAAATCCTGTTAAATAAATAAGTATAGTGATAAGCTTTGGGTCTTTTGATTCTAAAGTACCGTTTTTGTTTTTGTTTTAAAGGTGAGCACAAGCACAAATTGTGTTAAATTTTAATGGGTGCTGCAGGTGATTGGCCTGCTGTTTCAGAGTGCCAGTTACCTGGAATCTATACTTCAAGTTGTCAATCCCTTTGCAGAATACTTATAGTCTTGAAACTAGAAGGATCAACACAGCTACAGGAATATCAAATGAGGAAGGTTAGCGCTACCCTGCTCTACCAACCTTTTCTTTATCTCCCCTCCTATTGCATATCTTGGTTTAGAACTACTATTCCAACTGGGAGCAGGGGGACTGGAAGTCTGGAAGCACCCAGAGTTTCAAGGTGTTTAAGCCAATATTACAATCTTTAAATGGTCGGGTCTATTGCCAGGGTCCCTTCGACTTTCCTCTGAAAAAATGTATTGCAGCCTCCATCACCCATGCCAGAGAAAGGCCTGGGTTGCCACCTACTGGTGGAACGATAATCCTGGAAACAGAAGTGTTACGACAGCATCTTGGCCACGACTGGGAACACTTCCCCCTCTCCCATTTTGCTGCATCTTCATTCAGGCTGCCCTGGGCAATGATAAATTTGCTCACCTCGTTGCTGCCTTGCTTAGTAGGGGAGCTCTGGGATCCCGACACAAGAGAGAAAGGGCTCAGGGGACTGGTGAGGCTGGCTGAGCTCAAAGGGCTGGCTGGGCTGTTGGAGCTGTAGGTTCCTGATGGGCCAAGGGATACTGTGGAAAAATAACACGGAAAAGGTAAGCCATTCATGCAAACCAACTGATGGATGGATCAGCAGGAAAGGGACCTAGAGAGGCCAACGGAAAGTGTGTGTATGGTGGAGGGAGGAACTGAACCTTCCTTGACAGATCTGTAAATAAAGGAAAGTACCGTACCCTTTAAAAAGTTATGATGGTATTGGTCTGGATATAGGTCCTCTACTTGTGCCAACTCCAGACTGATGCAGAGACTGTCCTGCCCTCCTGCACCTATGTCCTGGTTGTCATGCTGCTGGCACATGGACTGGTGTGGTTTATGGCACAGGGAGCTGTAGGGTCCCTTCCAACTCTATGATTCTACGAAACTCTTGCTGATGCACAGCCAATTACACAGCAATCTACCATTAGTTCCTGATCTATCTTCTGCTTACCCCTGGTCTAAATGACAGTGCCACCCTTCAAATAGATTGCGATAAATGACACTCCTATCCTGGTTGCAAAACATTTCCAGGTGGCAGATAGCAAATTTTGGGTGTACGCATTGTGGAAGGAGTGGCAGATATTGAGATAACAAGCCAATACTTCTGCCTGCGACTCCAAAGAGCCTGCAAATAAAAGGCGTTGCACTTACCCCTATGCTTTGCTGTGTCTGTGCCCCGAGATGGGTTGTTCTTCCTCAGCCCCTCCATCACATCCTGGATCCGCCAGATCTCCTTCTGGATTTGCCGGTTGAGCATTTCATTCTGAAAGGGCCAAAGCACCCAAAATAATAGTAAGTAAACTAGCACTGCTTCCTGAACTCGATCCTTGTGGGGGGAGGGCCATAGCTTATCGGTAGAGCATCTGCTTTGCATGCAAGAAGGTTCCAAATTCAATCCTTGCAGTCTTCAGGTTGGGTTGGGGACTACCCCTGTCTGATTGCTGCTTCCAGTCACTGCAAGCAACTCTGAGGTAGCTGGAGCCATGATCTGTCTTGGTGCAAGGCAGTTTCCTATGTTTCTATTTCTTTTAGGTAAAAACTGTACGTTCACCTTTTTATAAGAGGTGGCTAACCTTATGTTGTTGGACTAGAACTCCCATCATTCCTAACCACTGGCTATGTTGTCTGGGGCTGATGAATGCTGGAGTCCAGCAACCAGGGGCAAATCTACTATGAAACGAATGAAACCTAGGCTTCAGGGCCCCTAATTCTGGAAGGGCCCCAGAAGCAATTTAGTCCACATTGCTTAAAATTTGTGAGCCACATTGATCTGAGTCAAACTGATTACTTTTTTGTTGTATATATTTCCCCCCAGATTTAGGTCCGCCACTGCCAACAACAGGAGGAGGGCCACAGATTAGCTATCCCTGATTGACACTTCTACATATACAGCTAGAACTCTGCAATGGGAAAAGCAGTTGGAGGAAGGGGGATTTAAGCACCCACTCAATTTCTCTTGGCAAAAATTGCCACTTTTACAAGCTTCCGTAATCCCAAAGAGATCTTTTTCTCCAAGCTTAGCCTAGCTTCTGCAAAAGGCACACTTTGCTATGGCAACCCTGGGCAACTGCTCCTCTTATCAAGGAAGCCGATGAGCAGCCTATAATCAGAAGTTTGTACAGTTTCAAACAAGAGTGCAAACTGAAAAATCACTGTGAAGAAACAAGCTATCAGAACACTGATATAATCATCCAGGCAGTTGTGAATGTTTATATCTGAGTTCGAAGAGCGCTCCAAGACCTGGCCCCCTAATTGTCCCTGATTGCAGAACTGCATAGAGAACTATAACATGTGAAGCAGCAATAATGCATTACACATATTCTGCCCTGGTTTCTACAAGTGAAGCAACACTTTTTGGAACAGCTGCAATCACAGCAGAGTGTATCCATGTAGCTCCAGTTCACTGCCTGCTCACACATTACATTTCCCCAGGCCCAGGGACAACTGAGATGCAGAAAAAGAAAGCAGCCAGCTGGCATGCAAGGATCAGCCCAGAGTGCTTTAGAAATCAGTTGTGAGGTTTATGAAAACAATGCAACTGGCCCAGAATCCCAATTTCCCACCCCTTAAAAAATTGGGATGTTGCTTAGCATCCCAGGGACAGAAGTTACATACTGAAGACTGTTGTCTTGTGAGTGCAAAAACTGGTTCAAAATGTTGATTGTTGGAAATTGCTGTTTTCTTTTTTCCTTCTTAAAGCAAACAAGTTTCAAGCTCAGGATGTGGAAATGGCTCAGACCTATGCATTTGCATGTACAACCAGTATCAGTGCTGAGAGTGCATGTCTCGCAAGAATACCTTGCCACTCCACCATGCATTTCTAGTCTCATATATTCACCTGCCTATATCTGTTTTCCTGCCACATCGCAATTTCTGCCCCAGCACGACAAATTTTCCATAAACTCACAGACTCAAGTAGTAAAGTTTGAGCAAACTATGCTAAATTGCTATGAGTGTGCAAGTAGTTTTAAAAACAGTGTTTGAGGTCCTTCCACTTTTTAGCACAGCACAATCCATAACACAGAGGTTACACACAGGCATTTTTGCTTTCCTGTTCCACTTTTCATGAGAATCTGTGCAGATGTAGCTTTTGCACACACCTGGGAGATGTCCTGCTCACCCAACTCTCAGCCACAAATATTCTGATCTTATTATTCCATTGAAACACAGAGATTACAGTTCAAATCAGGATGATGAATCGGATCAGATTGGAAATGTGTGTGCGCGGACAAACCAGAACCGAAATGGTTACCACAGGAGTTTAAAACCCATTGTAATTACTCAGTGAACAAGGCTGCATACAAGCACAGGCTTATCACTTAAAACATGAGAACAGGCCGAGCACATCATCCTTCCAGCTAAAGCACCGACATCGCCTGCTCTTTCTACCATTACAATCAATTAGTTCCATCAGGAGCTAGCAGAGCTCTTGCTTTCCCTTTGAAAGAGCCACTCACAAACATCCTGGCCTGGATATTTATGCCACTTTGGAACAGATGCTGGATGTTCTCCAGCTGTGGAGGGCTGCAGACTCCAGGACTGCAAGCAGGGCATACTGCGAGAGCCACCCCCTGCTCTATCACAACATCTCTCCCTCCCTCTGGAGCTGTTCCAGAATTAATTACTCTCAGGCAGGACACAAACAGCAATAAATTGCTAGGCACACAATAGACCCTCTTCAATGAAGAGTGATCTGTTTTATAACACTCTGGGATGCAAACTTCTGGAATAAATGAAGTGAAAGAAGTTCCGCATCCAATCAGGTTGTTACATAGTGGAGAACAGATGTGATTTCATGCTATGATTACGTTTTAGTGTTTTAATATGGTTAGTTGTAACTTATTTGTTCAAACCTGCTTTGAGTTCTTTTTTCGGGGGGGGGGGGAAGGATTCAGGATATAATTTAGGAGAGGGTGGGTGGGTGGGTGGGGGAACAGTCACAGGAGATCCAGTAATGGATTCCTCCACCATCTTGTCTAGTTTGCCCTTAAGCTTGCAATCGCAAGCATTTTTTAGAAGTCTCACTAAACTAAATGGGACTTACTTCAGAGTATATGGGATCCTTAAAAGTGGGTCATTCGCCAAAGGAAATGGTGAGCAGTCCTTACCTGCCTGTTGTACTTCAGATATGCATGTGGCTAGCTGCAGATCAGAGAGATGACTTCTAGCCTAGCTGTCTGCTCTAGTGGAATTACTAATTTTGCATGTGGAAGGAAATTTTGATGCATGCATAAGTTTCAAAGAAGCCATTTCCTCTGCGCACACCTGTGTGCAGCCTGTACCACATGCTCAACTCAGTGTTTGAATTCACTCTGATGGTAGCGTCTTCCACACATGATTCTGTGGTGATGCTTCCTAGGGTCAAGGAAAGCATCCTCTTCCCCAAAGCACTCCTGCAATTAAGTGAACTCTGGCCACATCTACCAGAGCAGGAACACTGAACTCTTTGCTTTTTAGACAAGGACCAAAAGAAGGCCTGTCGACTCAACTCCCACATTCCTCATACCATTTGAGTGTGTGCTGGGGGATGGCAACAGGGGGTTAAGAGCTGTTTGTTTCCACTTCCGTACCTTTGCAAATAAATACTAAGAACAGAAGGTTTTCTATTTGCACTGAACGTGCGCACACAGAGAGACAGAGTTTCACAGAAATCTGGTAGGTGCTTAAATGTGTGGAGTCTGGAGACTAAGCGGACCTCAGAGCAAGGAAGGAAAACAATGCCTTCATTCAGTGTGGCAGCGAGAAGGTCAAGTGTCGTTTACATCGGAAGGGAAGCAAGGATTAGACATCATTACTCTATCTGGTGTCAATGACACGGACAACATCAGCAAGCCAACCTCTGTGCCTGCTTTCTGCTTCAGCGTCTCCCATATCTCACCATCTGCCTTTTCAGAATGACAGCAGAGGGACTTGCATAGCAAGAGGGGTGGGAAGCTGGATTGGGCAACATTGGCCCCCTGTTTACAAGGCTTCTAAAGATAATTAAGCACTACTGTGAAGCTGCTTCTGGCAGGTCATCAGTGAGATGCATCCCAGCACCAGCAATTTTCTTTCCAGCTAATTCCAAAGAAAGAGGTAATGGAGCCCATATTGGAACTGAAGAACAGACTACAACCCCATCATAAGTCTACGTAATTTCTTGGCTGCTTTAAAATGCGGAATTACAGAAGAAAGGGTCAGAGATGCCTAGCAGAAGTTGCATAAATCCAGAGTTGGTAGGGTATAGTTAAGAAGATGGACCCTAGTTTGGGGAAATATAAGGCTCTACATTAGGAAAACCCAATCAAAAATTTCCCAAAGCAAACACTGGGAGCAATGACAACTAAATGCAAATGTGGGGCTTCTGTATTAACAACTACTGTAGGAGAGATCAAAATTGTCTGCACTGGAGTCTCTCCTAACATATTTCCACATAGGATTTGCACACCAGTAGTTATATGAAAGTTTGCACATGGGCCCATTAAATATCACATGCCAGCTCTTCACATACTGTATTTTTCGCTCTATAGGACACACTTTTTCCCCTCCAAAAATGAAGGGGAAATGTGTGTGCGTCCTATGGAGCGAATGCAGGCTTTCGCTGAAGCCTGGAGAGCGAGAGGGGTCGGCAGCTATCCGCAAGCCTTTGGAGTGCGGCGGGAGTTCCCGCCGGGCTCTGAAGGGTTGCAGATAGCAGCCTGAAGCCCGGGGAGCGCAGCGCTGCACTCCCTGGGCTTCAGGCAGCTATCCGCAAGCCTTCTGAGTGCGGCGGGAGTTCCCGCCCGGCTCCGAAGGCTTGCGGATAGCAGCGTGTTCTGGGGGCTGGGGTCGGGGGAAGCTCAGGCTTCCCCCGTCCCCAGCCCCGCAAGCTCCAGGAGCGGCAGTGAGGTTGCGCGCAATCTTGCTGCCGCTCCTGGACCTGTTCTGGGGGCTGGGGTCGGGGGAAGCTTGGGCTTCCTCCGCCCCGGCCCCGCGCCTAAAAACAAAGCCAAGACAGTGAGCGGGATCCATCCCACTTACTGTCTTGGCTTCTGCCAAAGCCGCGCGCAGCCTCTCCCGGCTGAAGAGGTTGCGTGTGGCTAAAGAGGAAGCCAAGACAGCCAGCGGGATGGATCCCGCTCGCTGTCTTGGCTTCTTTACTCTTTGGGGCTGGGGGGGAAAAATAAATTTTCCCCCTTCATTTCCCTCCCTAAAAACTAGGTGCGCCCTATGATCCGGTGCGCCCTATGGAGTGAAAAATACGGTAATTGTTTTGTGCATGCACAATAGGTGTGACTGGTCATGGTAGTAGTGCACAGTATTTTAGGTGGACATACATGCATAACGCTTAAAATCTGGCTCTGATGTTTTAACTTGCATTTAGGAAAAGCAGCCCGGTCCAATAGTCAGTATTTCTTAAGGATGGATGTGTGAGAATGATGGCTTAATTATGTGAAATGATAACTGTACAGTGGTACCTCGGTTTACGAACTTAATCCGTTCCAGAAGTCCGTTCTTAAACCGAAACCGTTCTTAAACTGAGGCGCACTTTTCCTAATGAGGCCTCTCGCCGCCTGTGCCCTTCCACTGCTCAGATTCTGTTCTTAGACCGAGGTAAACTTCGCAACCTGGGACATTACTTCCAGTTTTGCGGTGTTCGTAAACAGAATCGTTCTTAAACAGGACTGTTCTTAAACTGAGGTACCACTGAACTGAATACAGGTGGTTTTATTCTTTTGTTTACAACTTTATAAGAAGAGAACCAGAATCAAATCTGCCTATCAACAAATGCTTAGACATCCCCACAGGTCTGTGCCCAGTTTTGCTCTGGATTCTCTAGCATTTTCCTTAAACGCAGGTGGTCTGGAGGTTTCGTTCTCTCACCTGAATGTCCAAGTTCAGTTGTTCCCACAGGTCATCATGCAAGGCTGACACCTCACCCTCCAGGTTCTCATATTCTATGGTGCTGTTGGCCAAAGCCTGTGGGGATTTGCAAACAGTCCCATCAAGATACCAACACACTCACTCGCAATCTCCTCTCCATGTCCCTGGAGCGCAGAGGAACTAACTAATATTAAAAACGCTAACTAACTACCGAGCCATCCATTTGGATGCCAGCCCAGCCTGGCTGTGCACCACAGTACAGAGTAAATCTTCACCTAGGAGGTGGTAGCTGCATTGGTAGAAACTGTTGTCTTCCAAATAGCTTCTTTGGAGGACAAAGATCACCCTTGTATGCTTCCCATGCTAGCATTTAATTGCTGCATTCTGGAAGACACAAACTGGCATGATGTTTGTGCGCTGGGGGAAGCTAATGGACATACAATGAGAACAGAAAAGAGGACTTCACTCAAAGTGAAATGAACAGGAGGTTCTCCCCAGTTCTCCCCATGTGTTTTGCACAGAGCAAACTCACAGCATGCACTCAGGAACCAGAGGGGTTCAATTTGGGTGCTATTGCACCTTCTCATTGGGCTGAAAGAAGCTTTCTTCTCTCTCGCTCTCTCTTCCTTTTTTTTTTAAATGAGAGAAAAGGAAATGAAACAGAGAGACAAAAGAAAGATTTATTGTGCAACGCCAAGCCCACAAAGCATTCCTCTCTTCATCCCCAGGTTTCCCCTGACACATGCAGCACCAGCGTTGGCAATGCAACAAGAGCAGGCAGCCCATGCTGGCTCAGCTCAGCTGGAGACACAGGCTCCACTGATGCAGCTCGTGCTGCTGCAGAAGCATCAAATACTGTAGGGCAAAGAAGAGCCAGAAGAGAGGGCCGTCTTTGCACTATTCTGCCATGCAGGCTGCACACGAACCATAGGCTGGGCTGTGCTCTCTGCTCCATTTAACAGCAAGCTTATTGGGCACAGCTGAGCATGGTAGGGACAGTGCATGTTTGGATGGGTCAAATATACTTGATCAACAGGGACCAAGTATGTCTTTTCCCTCCACCACCTCCACCACCATTGTTCTTGATCCCTGAAGGCTCCTGAGTGTCTGGGATTTCTGCAAGAATAAACAGGGCATTTTCTTTATTACCGTGCTGGCTTGGGACAGCTCCACCCGAATATTGATCAACTGGTTCTGGAGGGATTCCTTCTTGTGCAGCAGTTTTTCGGGGTAGGCTGGTTGGCTCCCAAACATCTCTAGCTCCTGGTGTGTCCCCATCAATGCACTCTCCAGACTTTCCTAAGTGAAGAGAAGAGTAAGGATTAAAAAAAAAAAAAAAAGCTGATGGTTAGGAAGCAATCTGGAACTCAGCTGACTAGTGTATAGTTAAAATTCTTTTTCTGGCCTCAGGCATTCAGCCTTTCTGGGTCTTATTTCTAAAACCATCACTTGTTCTGTAGGACAAAGCATTATTGCAACTGAACTGGGTTGAAGGCTAGAAAGTTCAGGTGCAGGCTGAGTTGGACTTGCTCATCTGCCTGAATATCTAGACATGCCTTCTTCCACAGCATTCAGAGATGTAGGTCACTTGGTCCCCCCCCCCCAATAACCTCCACCACACATACTGTCTTGGAAAGAAGGAACCTGGTGTTGCATGAAGACATTTTCCTGAAATTTCTTTCTGCTTGTGCAATAGGACTTCCTCTCCCACTTCTCTCCTCATGTGCCTGCCCCCAGACCTGCTCTGCAGGGTTGGGGGAAAAGCAGATTTAGGGAGGCACACAGGGAGAAGAGAGGTACAGCAGAAGTCCTTGCACCAACGGGATGACTTGGTTCGATACAGCCCTCTATGAGCAATACTCCTGCTTACAAAGGCCACTTTTAGTATCTCTGTCTCCTATTTGGGGGAAACTGAAAACATTTGCCACAAAAATAACAACCTCTTGATGATGCCCACAGCCTAGCAAATGCAATAAGGTTCCAACCTCAAAAAGCCTCTGGAAAGTTGGCCAAAAATCAGAAAGCAGCTTGCCGATGGCATTAAGTGTGCTATGATACACGCCCCTTACCTTCTCTGCACGAAGTTGCTGCACCAGCCTCTCCTGTTCCCTCATCACCTTGTTTTGCTCACAGAGCTTTCCCAGGAGCTTCTTTCATGGAGGACAGAGAGAAAAGAAAGGCGAAATATAAGATTCATAGCAGAGTCTGGGGTGGGGAAGTGAATGTAGCCCTCTAAGTCTCTCTTGGGCTCTTCCCAGGTCACATCCCCTCCTCAGCCACATCCCTTCTGGCCCTGCCTTGCACTCTTCTTGGGTGTCCACCCCCCCCACTAGAATGTGTTTCATAAAGATTCTTGCAAGTGTGAATGGAAAAGAGAGAAAGATGCAAGTGTGTAGGAACTAGCCTGCTGTCCAAAGATGTGCATTCATTGCTCCACCCACCCTTTGCCTTTGTTCTCACCCAGCACTGGCATGTGGCCCCCAGAAGGTTGCTCAGGAGCAAAAGTGGCCCTTGAGCTGGATAAAGGTCCTCCACCCTGGTTCACATAGCAGAAGGCATTCATCTGCTTTGAACAGATCTCAACCTGGCCTCCGGGTATTAGAGCCTCGGTTGCTGGGGCTGCACAATCCGAGCAGGGCAGACTCACAAACAATGATGCCAGCATGAAAACACAAACCCAGAGTACAATGGGTGAGGATGGGGCAGGAAAAGCGACAGCCCGGGGTTGGTGAACGACGGCGACCGCAAGTGCTTGGGACTTTGCAGCTCCCCTAGCAGAATAGATGCCTGTTTAATGATGTCAAGATAAATGGAGAGGGAAGGCACAGCTTGCAAGGGGTGGAGGATGGAGAGGTGGCAGCGGAAGAGGGGATGGAAGAGGCAGACAGGCAAGAGGGAGGGAGGGAGGAGGTGCTCTTACATCTGTATCTTGCTCGCTTATCTTGTAGGTGTGCAGCGACTCTCTATAGGCTTCAGGGAAATGAGACACCTGCAAAAACAGGAACAAATCATTCCTGCTCTCTCCGCCTTTGAAGTTGACATGTCATGACAAGCCCCTGGGGAAATCCAAGGCTGCTTCTGCTTAGTGCGTAGGGGTGGGAAGCCCTCCATGTTTTCAGGTCCTGCAGCTCAAGCCCCAACTTTCTTTCACCAAGTCTTTTTTAATTAAGCAACATTTACTGGGTAGAATAACCGAAGGGAAAGGCACACACTGTCTAGCATTTCTATCACTGTGGTCTGGGGGTTTCTGCTTCTCGGTTCCCACGGATCTATCCAGCTTAGACTGCAGACTCCTCACTATCTTTCAAAATCAGCTGTCTTTCATCTCATCAAGGGAGGCAGCTCTTGCATACAATGTAGTGAGAGAATTGCTCTTTTCCTAACTGCATAGAATTGCTCTTTCTCCTATCCCCACAGATGTCAAGTTTATAACAAATATATATATAATGGCAGTTGCTCAGATTATGAGCAAATCAGCTATTCTACTATGCATGCATGTTAGACATGCAACCTCCATTACGTTACAGATCACCAAGCAATTACACATGGCCAGTCATACCATAAACAGCAGCTCACCTTCACAATCGCAGCAACTGCAATTGTGAATAGATTTAAATATGTGACCTCTCCTCCCCCTCCCCCCGGCCTGCCCGGCACTCACAGAATTCAGGAGGGTGATGGGGGAGTTCCCCTAAATGCGATAATTGCTATGGGCCAAAAGTTAGCTGCTCCATGTTATCTACTAACACACACTTAGTTAATAGATGTATGCAGAGCTAGTATATAGCACACAAGGAAGACCAGAAAGAATTTTTGCTGGGGTTTGTATGCCTAAAAGCAGTGTTGGCTATTCATGTGCAGTGCAGATCTTTACATGCCAAACAGGGGCCAATGTCTAGGATGTTGCTATAAAAGGGTGGCTGATGAACAGGTAACCAGAGTCCTGTCCTCAGGAAACAGAGAGGCCAGGATAAGTGGGAGGCTGGATTAAAGAGAAACTTCAAGAAGAGCACGGAAGGATCCTGTATTGTTTTCAACTTGAGACTTTGCATTGATCCAGAATTATAGTCAGACGCCACCACCCTCTGGTTTTATTCCCAGTTTATTTCCTGCTTTGAATTTCAAAGCTGCACAAGCCCAGGGTAATAGATTTCACAAGCTGCAGCCATGTAGTGTTGTGATTTGAGGTTCTTCACACAATGTCCAGCTCCCCTGCTTATGAGCAACCACTATTTTACAGACGGGACAACTAATGCAGAGAGAAAGCCAGGTCAAAGGTGGCCATTTTAGAGCATTGGCCTTTGGTGTGAATTCATAAAACCAAAACTCAGCTTTGCATTGTTTCCCTCTGGAACAGTGATATATCCAGCAGTACTTACCCAGAAGGGGTGTACGAGTATCACAGGAGGGCACTGATTAGAATTGATGCAATCCAGCACAGAAGAAAAGCATCACGTCAGAACCAGAGTTTTATTATTATCAAGCAAGCTACCATGTTACAATAATACATCAAGAGAAAATAAGTTCTTAACTGCTAGTTGGCAGAACCTGATCAACAGGAACTCCTCTAACACAGAGAGTGGTGATATGAGAAAAGTCTCTTCCGTGAGCATGATGTACCATGCTACAGATGTCACTCTCCATTTAAGTAGCACCTGTAACACTGTTCTCACCTTCATTGTTAGGCAAAAGAGATGTAGCTCAGTGGCAAGGCACGTTATTCTATGATTCTATATTTTGCCTGCAGAAGGTCCCAGGTTCATATGTGGTATCTCATATAGGACCGGGAAAGATCTTTGTCTGAGGCCCCTTGTGAATCTTGTTGATTCCAGATGGGATCAAATCTAAATGCTGACTCAAATCCTGCCCTATTTGAAATGTAATGGACAATGTTTTGGATTGCATCGTTTTCCTCAAAAATAATAATTGAGCAATAACTGCTGAGTTCATTAAATCACTAGCCATACCTTTTCCCCTATAAAGTAGGAAGTGGTTGCTGTTTTCTGTGTGTGTAGCTAAAAGCAATGGAAAGATGCCTGTTCAGAATCTAATTTGCCAGATGTCACGTGACCATAGGGGGGCGGTGTGTGTGTGTGTGTGTGTGTGTGTGTGAGAGTGAGAGAGAGAGAGAGAGAGAGGGAGGGAGAGAGGGAGGGGCTTGGTTTTGCTAGGCTACACAGCCTGCAAGAAAGTAGAATGGTAATTGTATCTGAGTATCTTCAGTGCCTGATTTTATAACTTTAAGATCACTGTTTTGCCCTGGGTGGTGCTAAAGCTCTGCCCAGTAAGTGACCGCTTTATATTACTTGGCACAATGCTGTAGGGACACAATTTTCCCGAGGAGAAGAACGATAAGACTGAACAGATCCTATGAAACAACAAAGGAAAGCATAGATTTCATGTCACTTCCAGCTATCCCTTATCTGTGCTAATCCCATATTTATATGTCCCCTGATATGTTAAGACAGCAGTGCTAACTTGAATAAAATATTGGGAGCAGAGGCGGGTAAGCCCTGCTACACTTAATTGATCACCACTTGTACACCACTTGAATGGCAATGCCCATCAACTGGAGGGGTGAGCAGACCCCCTCAAATATTTTATTGGGTAAAAAAATAAATTATTGGGGGAGGGGCTGAAGGGACCTTGGTCCCTAGGAGTTGGCTCCTATGTGTAAGAAGTGCAGGCCACTACTCTTCACGAGGCACCAATGTGAAACTGTGTTGGAACATTCTCTCAGGGGGTGAAAACCACCCCCAGGTGGAGCCGGAGTTAGACAAATTCTAGCTATGTGGCACTTTTCTGACAGAATATCCTTACTCTCTGGGGTAATTTGGCACAGTGCTGTGAAAAAAGCAGGAGATAGGAGGTACAATGTCTCATCAAACATGCCATTCTGTTTTCAGATTCAGGTAATGGCAGTGCTGAACTAATCCCTAAACTTAGTCAAGGATCTCATCTAACCAGTGATTATTAGCCTGTTCTGCTACAGTCTGCCTGGACAATATAAAGAGTAGCAAATGCATCAGAAAGTACATTTTGGTGATAAAGGTGACCAAATGATGACTGAAGCTTTAGAGATATAAATGGATGGTGGTTGGCTTGTTGCAACGGCAATGAGATGCAGCTTTTATGATGATATCACCGACTGTATTGCTTAATGGGCCAAATGAAGAATCCCAATCCTGCCAGGAAGACGAAGTTTCTGAACACTGATAATCCTGACTACATGCAATTGAACTGGTCCCAGTGGCGCTCACCACATGGCTCAGAGACATTATCTTCTCTTGCCAACATGGAGATCCTACAAAAATAGACACACCTAGCACTTGATATGGAAGGCTTTGACTGTTGTCATTATTATCATTATCTATTTTATACCCCAGCTTTATCCCTGACAGGACTCAAGGTGGCTTACAGATAAAAACAAGAATTGCTAAAAGTTAGAGGGGGACAATAATTAAAAAAAACCAATTAGATAATTAATAGAATTAAAACTATATACATATATAAACTCTGTTTAAAACATACAAATAATTACAATAAGTGGGTTCTGAAGCTCAACACTGATTTCTGAATTAAATTCCAGGGCTCGGTACTGATGACCCTTTAATAAAATTAAGCACAGAAGCTGATCATTCTGCTTCCCAGTGGACGTTCCCACTGTGGAGGGAGCATCCCCCTAGATCTGATGCATGGATATGTTCCTTGGGTAGGAGCCTAGATAGATCCTATTCTAGATCCTAGAATATCCACATAGATTTTTATAGTAAACTATTTTGGGGCAAGGGTGTGGGCAAAAGGTAGAGGACTCTCTACCCTTAGCAAGAGATACCAATGCAAACTTAAGTGCCCCACTTCACAAATTCCAATGCTAAGCATCGGCGCTAAAAACAAGGTTTGCTTCAGCGTCTTGGCTCACATATGCTAATATTAATACCTAACCATTTTCCAGGGGTGCACTACATTTTGCAAAAGTAATACCCGAAAGGAAAGAGGAAAATTTGTCTTCCCCCGCAAACCATTGATAGGCTTTTTTCGCCAGCCCCAAAAGCCATGACAAGCAGTTCGTAACTGAAAGTTTTAGGTTTTAACCTAAGCCATATATGCATTTATTATCTTATCTACAGAGAACACAGAGAGAGAAAGGTTGGCATAAGGTGGCACAGAGCTGCTGATGCAGCTGAGATTAAGATGTTGAGGGTCCCATCTACCTCCAACCTGTGGGTTAAGATGTGGATTCTGAGTGACTTCAGGAAATTAGGATCACTGTCAGGCAAGGGCACAGGTGCCTTACTGGGCTCCATGTATAAATGCCATTTGTAGAATGAGATGTTGAATGGGCATCTCACAAATGGATGTGGATGTGAGGTGCAGAAGGGTGACACTAGGAAATGGTTCTGCCATGCAAAAGCAGCTGGAATGGCATGGTTGATGGCAGAGCTGCTGTGATGTCTTACTTGCATGTACAGTTGAGCCCTAGGGGAAGAGCTCTCCACCATTCTGTTCACCATACTGATCAAAGTCTCGCTCTCGCTCATCTGCGGCAGACAAGGAAGGAAAAACATCAAGATGCTAGCGGAGGCACAGCCACTGCAGCTCAGCCTTGAACACGTGTGACCGCTAACACATAAATCTGAAAAGACCTAAGACCTACACCGGTGCCTCAGAACAGATGTCACAAGGCAAAGACACACCCAAAGGAAGTCCACAGGACTGAAAAGCACATCAATGTTCAGAGTGATTACTGGGCTAAACAAGATGTGATGCTAGTTGCATGGCTGCATTTAATGTGCATTTGGTGGATCATGAAGAAACGAAGCCTGAGTGCAAGGAGGAAGAATTGAGTCCTCCTCCTCCTTCCCTCATAGTTCCAAACAAAACATGGTTTTGATACACTCTCACAAACACTCATCTAACTACCATTTGCATATGGAGGAAATTCTCCATGTACTTTTCTGGAGTTGCTCCTTTCCCATGCAAATGGGCTTGCCAATGAAACTTTAAAAAGAAATGATTGGGGCAAAACATCACCCTACAGTTCCCAAAGAGGCATATCACACGGGTGTATCATATATGACACCCTCTGCTTAGCCCATTCACATCACAGGGGAGTAGCAGTGCTGGGGAAATAATGTTTCATCCCAACCCCCCCCAACCCCCATGCAATTTCCCTAATCACACACCCACCCAAAGCTGTATTTTGGGACATAATAATAACAGCTTGGCGGGGGGGGATTTAGATCAAAAGTTTAAACACCCCCTCCCTCAGTACTACTGCTCCTACCAAACAGCCACCAACAAATGATTTAAAGGGAGATATTTTATATATAGATCAGGAAATCTGATCATGGATCTCCCACGTCATATCAGTTTCAGCCTTTAACAATAGGATGACGGATGGGGTGGAGCTGTACTTACAAGATTTACCTTGTTGATACAAAAGACAGACTTTGAGTGAAGATATGTTTGGGCCTCCCTCTGAATGCTTTGAAATCCCAATGAGGCTTAGTACCTCACTTCAGGTCCCGCCAGACATACATACTGCACATTCATGATGATTTGCGCTCCTAAGAGCACAAATGAGAGCCAGTGTGGCGTGGTGGTTAAGGTGTTGGACCAGGACCTGGGAGAACAGGGTTCAAATCCCCACCTGGCCATGAAGCTCACTGGGAGACCTTGGGCCAGTTACTCATTCTCAGCCTCATCTACCTTGCAGGGTGCTGTGAGGATAAAACAAGGAGGAGGAGTACTATATACACCACCTTGAGTTTCTTGGAGGAGAGGCGGGAGGCAAATGTAATGAATAAGCAAAATCATAATGATACCAGGGCTGTCCCACTTTCAACACTGTTTGTGCCTGCAGAAGTGTTGTGGCAGTCCACCTGCATCATTTCTGATCAGTGCATATGCTGTAATTTCCCACTGAAATCCTGCGACTTGTTATACAACAAACACCCTGGTTCATTTTCCTCCTGCTTTTGTTGCCCTATAGCTCTTCCAGATAGCAATTAAGTGGTAGCACAGGGGCAGCGTCAAAGAACAAATGAAAGCAGAATAAATTCATCGCTAATGCACTAGGGACGCAGGTGGCGCTGTGGGTTAAACCACAGAGCCTAGGACTTGCCAATCAGAAGGTCGGTGGTTCAAATTCCCACAGCGGGGTGAGCTCCCGTTGCTCGGTCACAGCTCCTGCCAACCTAGCAGTTTGAAAGCACATCAAAGGTGCAAGTAGATAAATAGGTACCGCTCCGGCGGGAAGGTAAATGGCATTTCCGTGCGCTGCTCTGGTTCGCCAGAAGCGGCTTAGTCATGCTGGCCACATGACCCGGAAGCTGTACGCTGGCTCCATTGGCCAACAAAGCGAGATGAGCACCGCAACCCCAGAGTCGGTCACAACTGGACCTAATGGTCAGGGGTCCCTTTACCTTTTAATGCACTATTATTCTGTTGATAACGCTTTGCAGAATGCACCTACAAAAAGACCACTAGCTTGGGGGGGGGCTTACTCAGCAAACAGCTACTTCTGCTTATTAAACAGGAGCACTTTCTTTGATGACCAGAGGCCCCTCCTCTTCTCGCTTCCCCAGACATGCAGGGCTAGTTGAGCCAGTCTCTATAAGCCCCTCTAGCTCCTGGTGGGACTCAGCTTTGCTCCCTTTTTCAGGATTTTAGGACTGGTAGAGGAGGATTCAGTTTCCTCATTAGGATACACTTGAAGTGGAGGGATGGGTTTTATCCAATGGAGGCTGGTGCCCATTAGGACTAGTAGGGACCAAGACAAGGAGACCAACAGTAGGTGCAGCCAGAGCCACCAGCAGGCAGAGCCAGCTAATTGGTGATGCTCAAGCTAAGGAGGAGGCAGCTGATCCAATGGACTGGCCTTCGCCTGAGATTTTGTCCATGCACAAAATCTCACTGGTTGTCGTATCTGGGCTTGATAATAAATCCCTCCCTCCAGGGCTACTACACATTAGCTAATGATCCAGGGTTTGTTTGGTTTTCGTGCCTTTGTTTGCTTGAATCATCTGGAGCTGTTTGATTTGAAGAGTTCCTTCCACTGTGCATCCCCTTCATGCTCAGAGCACACTGTAGCCTAGGTTACACAGATTGATTCTGGAAGAAGGCGGGAAGAAGAAATGTGTGCCCGAAACTACTGTGTGTGAGAGAGAGAGAGATCTTGCAATTCCTTCCAACTCCATAAGGTTTTATGGAATGGAGTAATAATAATAAAACAGTTGCTTAAACAAAAATCCCAAGAGTCAGATGATATTTGGCTGACATACTTCTCCATTAGTCAAGTGAAGCTGATGGTGTTATAGCTCTCTCTAAACACACACACACACAAAGTGCACTTTCAAACAGAAGGCACCAGGGCATAACAAACAAATAGGGCTCTGATGTTGCATTTCATTGTGCTGTTTTAAATCAGTCTTTCTCTGTGGGTCAGAAGGGGAACAGAAAGAAATGGAAAGCCTTGAAGAATCCCTTTTTATAGGGAGAAAAGCCTACTATCAACAACGGCTGCCCAACCCGGAGCACTTTTAAGTGCCGCCTCCTCCTCAGTGGCTTCAGTCCAACACAGACACAAGCACATCTTCATGATTACTCTACTGATGGGGGATTTACTGACTCCAAAGATGTAATGAGATTGTCTCTGGAGCAGGCTTGCTTATTGAAATGCAGACTTTTTCAGGCCAGCATCAGACATCCATCAGCACTTGCAATGAGATTTCAGTTTTTATATATATAAAAAAATCCAGCTTAATCTCCTCTGCTGATGTTTTCCCAAAAGGGGTTTCTTTTCCTGTTTCTCTAAGGGTAGGTCAGCAAGTGTCCCTTAACATGACAAAATGTGCATGAAAGATTGTTTCAGCTCAAGGCAAAGCTTGTGGGGAAGGCTGTTTGGGTTAGTTGCTTGGTATTTGAATTATCACAGTATACTGAGCTGCTTTATATTCATGGGTTTGCTGTTTTTTAACAAAACCATTATGGTAAAAACTGGTTTTATATTATTGATTTCTGCGCCCGCCCCACGCATTTCACATGCACACTGAACCATTCTTTCTGGTTAGCACACCTTTACATACTTAAGCATTCTTACACACAAAATACATATATATTCTGATGCTTAGTTATTCAATACCTCAGATTAACCATCTGTTTTGTCCATGTTTTTTAAACATGAAGTACCTGACCTGAATAATTTTATTTTTATTTTTTTTAAAAAACACCCAGGTCTGTTCTTTCCCAAACTGAAACCCAGTTTTGACTATCCAAAAGTTGGATAAGGTTAAATGAGTCAGATAGCTGAGTTTGTATGCAATGTCATATACCAGCTTTCCCCAACCTGCTTCTCAACAGCTGGTTTGGACTACAACTCCCATTCAGCCCCAGCCAAAACATCTGCAGAGCACCAGGTTGGGAAGGCTCCATATGCAAACTTGATACATTCACAGACACATACAAAAGATCTCATATTCCAACAAGTGAAATTTCACAAAAACTCATGGACTCACTTCCACTCATGGACAAACTATTATCAGTCTCCCAAACTGTTTCATAGGCAAAAGGTGGTGGTGGTTGTTTTTGTTGTTGTTGTTGTTATTTTATACCCCGCCCACTCTGGGCGGCTTCCAACCGAATATTTAAAACAATACAGCATCAGACATTTAAAATTTTCCTAAACAGGGCCGCCTTCAGTTGTCTTTTAAAAGTAAAATAGTTGTTTATTGCCTTGACACCTGCTGGGTGGGCATTCCACAGGGCAAGCACCACTACCGAGAAGGCCCTCTGCCTGGTTCCCTGTAACCTCACTTCTCGCAGCGAGGGAACCGCCAGAAGGCCCGCGGCACTGGACCTCAGTGTCCGGGCTGGATGATGGGGGTGGAGACACTCCCTCAGGTATAGAGGACCGAGGCTGTTTAGGGCTTTAAAGGTCAGCACCTTTAAAGGTCATGTGGACCTTCACTTGCCTTACTCCCAAGGCACCCATGGAACCTGAAAGCACCAGGGTCACACACACCCCACCCCACCCTTTTCACCTGATCAGCCAGACTCTTGTTGGGAACAGATATGGAGAAAAGATCAGATAGTATGCCTCCCTCCCTTTCCACTTTCTTTATCTAATCCTATGATCCTGCAACAAGTATGCAGGTAGAAGCCAGCAGGGATGTTCAGAATGTCACACATGCAACTATGTGCATGTTGGACAGAGGTCATGGGTGTGGGCTCAGTGCAAGGACTTCCTGGTCCTCAGGGAACAAGTATGTTCCCTTTAGGTCCCAGTATCTGACTGAGAGAGCCAGAGCGGTTGGTAGACATAATAATGGCATTCCACTCACACAGTGCCATCTCTTCCATTATAATGGAGAATCATGGTCTTGGGGAAGAAAAGCTTCAATCTGAGGAAGAGGCAAATGATTCTCGAAGAGGGACACATTCTTTGTGGGACTAACAGTCATCCTATCATATGGAGGACACTTTTCTGGGGGTCTCTTGTTAGTGGCAGTTTTTATCACTGGCCTCATAGGTAGGTGAG